TAAGCAAGAAATATTCTTAGCTAATTAGTGAGAATTCTGCTGCCAAACGAATCCACGACAGTTGAAACCTTGCACCAACCTTCTCACTCACATGCTGAACATTCCTTATACACTCACATAATCTTTTCTTACACAACAAATCTGCTGAGAACAATTATTGTAAGAAACTCTCATAAACTTTCTTCCAGTGAATTTTGAAATACAAAAATAATAGATAAAAAGAGACAACTCTTGTTTTATTCAACCTTTTCTTACTTAAATGCATGCCTTCTTTCACATCGTTGTCTGATATTGTACATCTTGTTAAATACATATTTTATGTGTAATGATGTCTTTTGATTATCCAGTTTTGTTTCCTAATCTAAAATTAAATTAATGTGGTGAAGTCCACCACACTCTTATTTAAAAATAGTTTGATTACTTTGAAGACTGCACCGAAAGGAATTCTTTCGCTGAGAAAGATAAAAAATTCTGGGAGGATTGAATTATGATTTAAATAATAACAGAATGAGATGTTGCTCAGTAAAAATTTATCTGAAAAAGAAAAAATGTCTTTTGTATTTATTTACTCATTTATTTATTTTTTGCTTGATAAACCCAAATATTTTTTTAGTTTCATAATTACAGCGGGCAAAGTTTATCTTAAGAGCAGGTAAAATAGAACGTTTTTCTATTGACACCGCTATCTCTATAATTTTTATTGTTTTAAAAAGCTATTAGAATTTAAACAATTTATTTATTCAGTTGTTTATTTACAAGATTATTAATTTATAATGTCTAATCATAAGTATATAAAAATTAAGTTTTTTTTTTTTTTTTCTACTTTTAAGTGATTTTTGTACTTTAAAAAATGCCTCCGCAGTAATTTTTATGAGCTGAAAAAAGTATCTTTAAAAAGCTATATCCCCTTTTCGTTATATCTGCTTGGAATTCCCATATTCCTCTTTGCAGTTTTTGCCTGAGTAAAGCCTAGATTAGCTGCCATCTCGGTGATAGAGTTTCACATACTTCTTGTCCCTACATTCATTCGGCAGTCAAAAGGTTTTAAATTCTGTCCGTTTCCATGGCTACAGTTCGTCTTTATCTATTACGTCACACATCACATATTTGCATTTAGGGAAGAGTGAAACCATCCAGCTAGTGTGCTGCTGTATCTCATATATATGTGTGTGTGTGTTTGGGCATCAACCTTTCTTTCAAGCACCAGTTATTGAAAATGGCCGACAAGGAAGATTTAATTAATCTTTCATTGAGTTTTTCTAGCATTCTAACATTTTTCCCTTTCCTAGGGTTAAATAATATAGGAATTATCCATAGTTATAATTGTTTCAAGCACTTTCGGCTAGTTCTATAACCATTATCAAGGATGTTGTTTTGGGGTGGTGAATTTCTGTGTGAGGTTTCTACGTAGTAGGTTTGCTCTGTGGAGTATGTATGGCAGGTGATGCATTCTTTTTGGCAGTCACATGCAATGTGTGGTCGATTGACCTTTAATAAAATCTTTAACACGCTATCTCCACTGATAATTTGATAGCAGGTGAATAATATTTAATAAGCAATGCTTCCCTAATTAGGAGTTGTGTACAGCTATGTAATTTGGAAAGAATCTTTGTGTTGTCGGCTAAAATTTTCCTTAAAGGTTCTTATAAATTATAAATGTTTATTAATCGCATTCTGCTTTGAAAGGTGGCATGAAAAATGTCTACTTAAGGAGGTAGTGACGTGCCCAATATTGGTCACTGGTTTTTGGTAAGTAACAGTATTGTACGGTGAAGTGAAATTGGTACACTATATTGGTCATCACTAGTTTTGATTCAGTAGGATCATTTTGTTTGGTGACAATGAAGTTTGCAGCCTTCCATTTTCTATAATATATTATGAACTTTATGTTTTCTGAAGGTTACAGCAGAAATATGTTTTTTAATGATTTTCCTTATAACAAATTCATCCTGCTTATAATTATTGGGCATCTGGTTGCAATAAATGTTGATGTTTTGTCGTGTTGTATTTTTGTTACTGGCATTGTGTATTCTTTGTAAGAGTAATTTTATTTGTTTATAAATGATGTAGTTGGGAAAATTATTGTTTGTTTTATGTGTTTTAGTTCACCTAGAAATATTCTTTGGGGGAAGAGGAATTTTAGTGTGCTCTATTTATGAAGTTTGTTATCAATGCTAATTTATAACTTTCCGGGTATTGGCTATCATAGTTTAGACAAGAGTTCGTACTAGTGTTTTTTTTTACAAGGGTAAGTGGTAAATTCGTTGGATTTTGTCTCTATCTCGACGTCGAGGAATGGGATCTTGATATGTACTCTGGGTTCATATGTGAATTTTAGTGCTGAGTCCTTTTATTTTTTTTCAAAAGTTGATTTTAGGTTTGTGATTTCATCTTTATTATTTATCAAAACAAAAATGTCATCAGGGATTTGAAAGAATTTGGATTAGTAGGCAGAATGCCAATTTTTTATTAAAAAGTTTTTAAACAATAGGAGTTTTAAACATGGAGATTGCATTGACAGAAAATGATGCAAATGCTATATCTGGAATGAGAATATGGGATTCAAATTTGCCTAGATTAAAGGGTGTTCCAACAACATTACTTATACAGGGTTATTGCATTGATAGAAAATTATACAATTACTGTATATGAAATGAGAATTTAGATTATAATGTTGGCCAGATTAAAGAATGTTTGGATAACATAGCTTAAACATGGATATTGTACTGATAGAAATTTACACAAATCCTATATCTGGAATAAGAATTTTGGATCCAGTGTTAGCAGAATTAAATGACGTTCAGAAAACATTCCTTACACATGGAGAATGCATTGATAGAAAATTATACAAAGACTATATTTGCAATAAGATTTTTGGATTCAATCTTAGACAGATTATAGGATGTTCAGACATCATGGATTACACATGGGGATTGCAATGATAGAAACTTATACAAATAATATATCTGGAATGAGAATTTTGAATCCAATGTTGGCTGGATTAAAGGATGTTTGGACAATATAGCTTAAACATGGAGATAACATCCATAGAATCTTATACAAATACTATATCTCAAATGAGACATTTGGAACCAATATTGGCAGGAGTAATAGATGTTCAGACAACATGTCTTGCACATGGAGATGGCATTGATTGAAACCTATACAAATACTATATTTAGAATGAGGATTATGGATCCAGGGTTGTATGGATTGAAGTATGTTCAGACAATATTAATAAACATGGCAACAGCAATGATAGAAACTTATGCAAAAAATTAATTTGGAATAAGAATTTAGGATACAATGTTGGCTGGGTTAAAGGATGTTTTGACAACATTGCTTATACAAACACGATATCTAGAATGAGAATTAGAGTATGTCTGGAAAACGTAGCTTAAACATAGAGATTGCATTCATAGAAACTGTGTGTGTGTGTGTGTGTGTGTGTATATGTATTTGAAGACTTGTCCACCAATGTGGTTTTGGGGATGTCTCAAAACTTCTGGGACACAAGTGGATGGATTGTGGAATAGGACCTCAGCCATTATCCATATAAGGAGTGAGAAGGGGTCCAGCAGTAAGGAAGTAAGTAAGTAGGCGATCAGTATGTGCCTAGCGGCCAGTGACATAAGGACCAGCAGAAAGGAATCAGCAGTCACTGAGCCCAGAGGCCGATGAGGAAGGGTCCAGCTGAAATTAAGGAGATTGCATTTCAGCCAAAGGAAAAGATACCTGACTAAGTGAGAATTTGTATTTTTGCCCCAGGTGTATACACATACATGTGACCTTGGATATCATCTCAAGTGCAATGAATGACAGATGAGCAGAGAACTTTGCCACAAACACTGTTATATATAGACAGACCCTTCAGCAATCTCTCCATCCACTCCTCAGGTGATATACTGCAATGTGTGTGTGTGTGTGTGTGTGCGTGTGTATATATTATATATTTTATTAATTAAACATTATTTTTTAGTGGATACTTGTATTTGAGCAAACATTTCATTTATATATTAAACAGTATATTTATTTATTTTTGTCTACTGGCCTGAATAATCAAAAAATCTTATTAGAGAAAAAGAGAGTTTTATCCATTAGTGGCATGTCATGATTAAAGAACTGGTCTAACTGAAAGGCTGGTTTCTTTTGCCAAAAATACTATCTAAAGATTTCACACAAATGAAGATACTTCCTTGCTCAGAATGTTGGACAACTTGAGAGAATAAAAATTCTTTGGCTGTTGATAACTGAAAAATATCAAATAATGCAAAATACAAGTTAAATTTTTGTTTCTTTCTTGACCTTGGGCTTCAAATTCTGAATTTACAGTGGAGTATTGGAAGGAGGCACAGTGGAGTAATGGATAGCGGCTTGGATTTAGGAATCGGAGAGCTGAGTTTGAATTCCAGTCGAATCCATTACATTCACTGATGTGCTAATACTCTTGGGAAAGGTATGAATCCTCTTCTTCTCCCCACAGCTATGGGTAAATAGCAGGACATGTTCTGTAGCCTTGGATGGCAACTGGTCTACTGCAGAAAGAAATGGCAACTTACTGCGGGAAAAAATCTGCCTCGTCAGTCATGTATTGAAAGATACATGACCACCTAAGCGTGTATCACACATGGTACATAACTGACTGACTGAATTGATAATAAAAAAAAAATAGAAAACAAACACACAGAAACTACTGAGCTATCTAGAAGTTGCTAATTTGACCTTATGGCTACATATCAAATATTTTATTGACGAAAAGAGGTAGAAGGAAAACAAACTGAAAAATGAAAGCAAAATAAATCCGTTTAATTCCAACCTTTTCAGCAATTCTCTGAAAAATGCTCTTGGCAAAGGGATGACAACCAAATCTCTACACACTTAGATTTTTAATATACCCACTCTCTTCTTAAAACCAATATTGGGTTTATTTTTGGGAGAGAAGCTTGAAGAATAATTGAAGAATAAACACATGAATATATTTGTAAATTATTTCATTGTCATTAAGAAACAAATTGTAATTGACTTTCTCCAGCAAACGAATGAAAATCTTTCACTGTTGTATGGTAAAGAGGGTTTGCCTTTAACACTTGCGATGAACAACCAGTGACCTGAAAAATAAAGAAATGTTATGAATCCAAAAGGAATTTCTTTTTCATAAGGTTCTTGAGAATGTTGGAGCCAAAGTATTTAATCTGTTTGTGTGTTCAAAATTGGTTCAACTAAATCTAAATATGTGAATTTTGTTAAAATTTACTTTCTTTTAAAGAATAATAATTGAGTAACTGAATAATTAAAAAAATAATCTACATTAAGAAGTTACGCAAATGTAAACTTTACATTGAGGTGCTTGGGATACAATCAAAATTTATTTCCCTGACACATGAACATGAACTCAAAGTGTTGTATTTTTGCACCAGCTGAAAGTGACACAGACACAAAATCACAGACCAATGAAAAAGATGTTCTATTGAAAACCAAGATGGTCAAAAACTACAAACATAAAATTAAAAAAGCTAGCAACATACATGATTGTTCCAAGATTCATAATGGCCACAATATCAGGATAAACACTGAAACAATTTTATTTTTTTGGTAAATCTAAAAATCCAAGCAAAATCAGGGAATTTTGCAAGAAAATTTCTTTTTTCAATGCCATATTGCTTCAGGATGGAGGCTTTCATGATCGGCACATATTCTTTCTTTTTATTATCTGTCCATGTGTGGGTAGTGTAACTGATATTGATGTGGAAATAGCGAGCCAAGTTCAAATTCCAATCTAGTCTCTAGTGTTCACTTTTGCTCTAATATCCTTGGGAAAGGCATGAAACCATCTCTTCTCTCTTGCATCTTGGGGTTAAATAGCAGAGCAGACTAGGCACTCTAGCCTTGAGTGGCAACCAGTCTAAGAGAAGGAAAACTGAATTCAAAGTTGCAGAGGACAACAGGAAGCCACTTCCTCTTTCTCAAGAATATGTGGTAGAATTTAGATATCTTCCCAGCTTATTGTCATTTCACAGTGAAACACCAGTTCTCGTTACATCCCTGAGGTGAAGCAATGTCAAGCTTGGTCAGATGAGTGACTGCCCAGTGATGTAAGCTTGGATGTATGCTTGGTTTACTGGATAACAGCTCGGAAAGAGAACTCAGACAGCTGAGTTCAAATTCTAGTTGGGTTCATTGCATTCACTTATACTCGAATACCCTTGAGAAAGGAATGAATCCACATTTTTTACCCCCAACTATGAATTAAATAGATAGACTTGTATATGGAAAACAGTATCTCCTTAAAATTGTTAATACAATATTCACTACTAAAAAAAAAATATATATATATATATATATATATATATTCATCCCTTGCCACTTCATGCTTCAATTTTCATGGCTTCATCCTATTCAGGTTTTTTTCAGATCTTTTCATTAAAAATATTGCAATTCCTTGCTGCTTCATGGTTGACTAATATCTACTAAAGAGTTGGATAAAAGTTCTTGCCCAGATCTCAGTAGCAGACACTCAGCTGATCCTTAAGTTGATTGAGACAGTGAAAATAATACAGTGCATGCTTGGTGGTCTGAGTCACCCCCCTGTATTAAAATTACTGTAGGCCTATGTATTCAAGCACCCACTCCTTGTGTGTGGGCAAGAAGTTTTTTTCAGAGCTATATTATTCAAAAATTGGATATGGTGTCCATTGATTGGCTATTGTTGTAGGAGTGCTGTGGATCACTTGTTGGTGATGTGTATGTGTGTTGGCACAAAAGAGTCAGCAAACAAAATTGTTCATAAAATAGTTGACAACAAACCGAGTACAAAACAAAAAGGCAAATAGTATTTAATTAAAAAAAAGCCAAATTTTATTTGGTTTTATAATATTATTAGTCTAACCTAGAAAAATAATGCAACATGTTTGATGATGAAGCAATTTACATGTAAGAACTTTCTGTGTGATTTTAATGTACAATAATAATAATAATATGATATTTGTAATGTCTAATATGTCTTATTTTCTCTCATTTTGCCTAATACACTGGGTAATATAAATGTAAAGAGGACTACAGGGGTGCTATTTCATGTCTAGAGAGCTCTTATAATGTCAAAAACTGTATTTAGAAGGTCATTAACAGGTTTTCTATGTTCTATGAAAATATTCAATTTATAAATAAAGAATCCTACTTTGTGAAAATTCACTTATCATGGTAGGGCCTAGAAGTGATTAACCACAATAAATGAGGGATGATTGTATGAAAATATATATATATATATATATATATATATATATATATATATATATACATTTATGATCCAAATATATGTTTTCACTTTAAATAACCTACAGGAGGTTGATATAAAAAATAAAAATCAAATCATATTTTCCAATGTTATTCAAGTTTTTCACATATCAATATGGTGGTTGGGGTAATCACATTTCATTTTCACCTGTTTTTGTTGCTGCTATGTTTTTACAGCTAAATGTTTGGGTGAGTAAAAAAAAATAATGAAAAATAAAACATTAGGAGTACCTGTGAAAATTTCACTGTTTTCCCATTTGAATTTCTTGACAAATCAGTTCTTGTTTTAGTGAATGAATAAGCTCCTTAAGAGTTCCACAACTATAAAACACCCATGAAATTTCTCCCATTGCATTGATAAATATTTGAGCTAAATCAAATATTACAATAGAAATCATAAGCATGAATGGAGGACATTGTGATACAAATGGAATGATACATTATTTATCCAGTGTAATGGCAGAGTGTACCTAACTAATAGAGGAACAAGCACAATTATGATACTTTATATTAACAAAAAAGATATCTGAGGAATTCATTGTTAATGTGACAAAGATTTAAAATTGTTTTCCCATTACATTTAACTTTGGTCTCTTAAACAGTGTTCAAATTCTGTTGTGCCACCTCTGGAAAGGCATGAACTAATATTTATGCTGTGCCTTGTCAGATTTCAGATATGATCTTGCCACTAGAAATGGTGATGCTGTGTATGTTTAACTCTAGAGAGAGTGAGACCAGACATTGTCCTGAAAATAACTAAATGATTGAGAAACTAATAACAGGGAACAAAAAAAATTTCAATTTTTAAGTTACTGACTGTTGGTTTTTTTTAATGGAAAGGAATGCCTTTAGCAAAAGGCAGGAACTCCAACTTCCCTGCAGACTGAATTTTCAAGCTCTAAGACATCCAAAAACAAAGAACAATATTGTGATTATCTTCAAACATTTTAAACAGAAAACCTCAAAAGATTTGGCTTAAAATTGAATTTCAGGTGTGTATGTATGTGGGAGTGCAGGAAAACTCACCTGAACTGCTACATAATCACCAGGTTTGATTTCCCTTGTGTGCTGAGACGTACTAAATAAATCTGGAATCTCAGTTTGTGGAAAAATCACTTTAGTGTTGCCGTCATTCCGACCAGCAAGGTCCAGTGGTGATCGCTTGCTGGGCTGAAAGAAATTCATTTACAGAATTTAAACAAAAAAGAAAATAAGAAATTTGGTGGATACTAAGACAAAATCTTTTGCAATCAAATAGAATTAGGCAACAAACCAGCTTCAAGTGCTATGACAGGTAAGAAATCTCTTACCTGAAACCCTTGGGGCCAGACAATTTATAAGTGGGATTTTTTTCCAATTTTGAAATTATAGTACATGTACTGTATATAAGGTCATCTATTAAGTTGATTGTCAAGGAGTGGCAATATTTGTGAATGTTTAAATACTTATGCAGGGTTGGATAAGATCATGACATTTATTTTTTTTACATTATTTTTTTGTTTTTTGTTTTTTACAAGTAACTATGGATATTGACTAATACTCAGATTACTTAATTTTTGTACCCAACATTAAATTTTTCATGCTTTGGTACAAAAATAAATAGAATTTCAAATGAAAGATGCAATCAAAAATGAGAAAGACAAAGAAATCACTCTGGAAATTAATTGAATAGTTTTGAGCAAAAATAAAAAAAAAACCCCAAAAAAGTTATTAAGTGGGATCAGATATTCATTACAAGTAAGAAGCATTAGATATTAATATTTTTAAAGAGCAGAAACATTTATAAAATAAAAATGTGTGAAGTAATGTTGGGAAAAGCAGTGATACACAAAAGTATGTGTTGTCACACTATGAACAGGGTAAAAAAAAAATTTAGAAAATAAAATATCATTTTTTTTAATACCTTAAAGTAGGTACCTCCACGAGATCGCTAAAAAAAGAGCATAGCATGATGAAAAAGACGCCAAACTTGACGAAAACAAAATTTTATCGTCTAAATGTTTGTTATTATTAAGAGGAAAGGTCAAAGTATTTTTGGGATATTTTTTTCCATTTTTAATCGTTCCTAGCACGTCCGAAATTTTCGTTAAAAATCTAGTTTTTTTTGAGTCAGCAAAATTGACCATTTTTTTCCATTTTAAAAAAAAACTGGAAATCTGACTTTGAAATTTTTTTAAATATCAATCATCATTTTTAACAACTTATTTTAAGAAAATCAGAAATTATAATGTTTATTTAAAATATTTTGAACCAAACTTAACTTAGCTTTTTTGTGCCAAAAAGATGTAATTTGAAAATAAAACAAAGCAGGTCATAAACTTTCGCGTCTCTTGACATGTGATGAATGATATATTTACGAATTCCATGAGGCTAATTTGTTCTACGGAAGGAGAAAAGTGAAATAATTTACATTTACGTGAACAAATTATTTACCCGTTATTTTTAACGAAAAACTTTTCAGCGGTCTCATTTTTTTTTTTTTTTGTACTTAGCTTTCACCTTTACGTTTATGATGCTTTATGGGAAATATATTCTAAAGAAATTAAAATAAAACTGTTAAGAGTGACATTAAATTTCATATTTCTTAAGAAAGGTATCTAATTAATTTATAGGTAACTTTCTTATGAAATTTTATCAGAATTGTACATAAAATACTATAATTTTATGTACATTTATTACATTCTACTGTTATTTGTATTTGCATTCATTTTATTATTAATTTTGATATTTCATTTATGGAAAAAAATGTCGTAACTGAGATTAATATAAAAATAAGATCATATAAATTTCATAAGATGATACTGATACTTGTAGGTACCCTTCTCAGTTGAAATTGAAAAATCAAATTAACTTCTCCACACGTGTTTCGCAAAAGTAAAGGCCTTAACAGCGGAGAACAATGCTTAACTCAAATAACGCAACTTAATTATATTCTGGTTGGTCTTCCGTATTTTATAATTACAGCTCGATTATAAGCACAAAATTACATTTCTTAATTACTGGGGATCTTCTGATTAGTCAAAATGATACAATTTACAATGCGCTAAAAAAGATCTATCTCATAAGGACACTTATGAAAGCCGATGCGACTTTTAACTAATTTTATAATATTTTAACAACTTAAATGTAAAATCTATTATAATTAATGAAATAACAAATAATTGTATTAAAATTCATTTTCATCGAAAAATTTTTTTGCTTTCAGAAAATATTGTCCATATTCATAAAAACAACTAAAAGCAAATAAAAGCATTTGAAATTAAATAATATCTTTGTTTTATTGAGTTTTGTATGTTACAATTCAGAGCTGATTTTCAGGTACTGCGTATCAATTAAAAAAAAAAAACATGATTTGCATTCCTCAAAGCCCTGTGCTTTTAATTATTGTAATCACTAAAACCGATGCGATCGAATTTCTTGCATTTTCATAAAATTAGTTAGGGGGGGGTAATAAATATTTTAAAAAAATATTTCTACCATGACTTTCATAAAAAAAACATATTTATAATAATTTCGATCATCTGTGAATAGTTCCTGAAAGTTTCATTAACATCCGATAATTATTTCTATTTTTGCACGATTTTTCAAATTAATGTGTGTCATACCAAAAAAACCTGCTAAAAATTGTCTATGTTATTTACTAGTTCCGCTGATACAAATAGAAAAAAGGTTTTTTAATCAAAATTTAGAATGTTCTAAAAAGAAGGAAATTTTTTTAAAAATAATTAAAAAAAAACTGTGGTCTTTCCTCTTAATAATAACATAAGCATTTAGACAATAAAATTTAGTTTTCGGCAAGGTTGGCGTCTTTTTCATCAAGCTATGCTCTTTTTTTAGCGATTTCGTGGAGGTACCTACCTTAAAGGAATATTCAAATGTGTGACACTGCATGGTGTGGAATTTAGTACTCAGACTTTATGAATTTAAGCTCAGTACTAGATTCGCAGAAAGATCTCATCATTTTAGAGTTGAAATGTCTATGTATAACCATAAGTTCTATGCTGTTTCTTCTCTCACATTTCTCACTTATGGAACTCTCTTCCAACTTCTTCCTTTCCAATCAACTTTAATCTTCAAAAATTTAAACGGAATGTTAATCATTATCTTAACTTCTTAATTTTGTTTTTTTATTGTTCTCACTCCTTGAAAATGTTTTCTTTTTCCCATATTCTGTCACACTCAGTAACACCTTGTATCTTCGTGGCTTTATCAGTTAGTTATCCCTAGATCTACAGTACAGTCCATTATAAAGTTCAAACAGTTTAGCACAGAGAATTTGCCTAGGCGTGGAAGAAAACCCAAATTGTCACTGAGAACTGCACAAAAATAGTGTCAGAAGGTTAATATAAACTCAAGAGTTGTTTTGAAAGACATCACTAAAGGTTTGGTTACAATGGGTATCAGTGTAAGTACTGGCACAATACAACGTTGTTTAAATAGAAATGTGTTGTATGGAAACTGACCACGAAGAACCCCTCTTCACAAATCATGTCACATTGTTGCTTGGTTTCATTTTTCCAATATGTTCTTGGACAAAGAAATTGCTTTGGGAACAAGAACTATGGAATGATAAAACAAAAATTGAGCTTTTCAGGCATAATGACGTACAGAAGATTTGGCACAAGAAAGGTAAGGCTTTCCTCCCAAAGAACACAGTGGCAACATTAAAACATGGAGGCAGCTTGATGATGTTTTGTGGCTTTAGCTCAAGGGGCACTGGACAATTAATTGCAAGATGATATCTGCAGACTATATCAAAATTCTGGATGAAAATCTACAAGTATCAGTGCAAAATCTTCATTTAGATTGGCAATTTACTTTCCAGTAATATAATAATCCCAAACATACATCTAAATCAGTGACTGTGTGGCTTTATAAAAAAAAAGATTACAGTCCTGCCATGGCCTTCAATGAGTCCCAACTTGAATCCTATAGAAAATCTATGGCAAGTTTGAATAAATAGTCGGTCACCAAAAAACCTTCAGGAATTAGAATGTGTAATCACTGAAGAATGGAAGGAAATCCCAGAAAAGACAAAATCTCATGAAAAACTTTAGAAAACGATTGTAGCAAGTCATAAAGATGAGAGGCCATGCTATCGACTACTAATATTGTGAAAATTGTTAAATTTTTTTTAGTTTTCATACTGTACGAATAATTTTGTCTTTCCTATTTTGCATAATTCCCCTGTCAAATTTATTATATTTAACCAATTATTCTGGAAATTGGGTTTCATATTCCTTATTTTTGTGCTTATTAAAATATAAAATGTATAAAAAACTTGGCATTATACGGGCATTATATTCTGAGAAATGGATAAAAATATTCCAAATTGATAAGTGTGCGAATAATTTCATTGTTGACTGTATAACCTCACATACAATGCTGTGGTAGATTACTGTCATATAGAAAAGGTTATATCTGTAGAGAAAAGCTGACATTAGAAATCACACTATGGTATCATTTATTATTCATTCTATGCAGCTTTCAAAATTTTAATCAAAATTTCACTAACCCCTTGTACAAGAACAAGCTGTATTTGTCCAATTTGTTCAGTGTTTAGCTTCAGGGCAATTTCTCGGAAAGTTTCCATCAGTTCAGTATGTCTCCTGACTTTCACGTCAACAGGAACATCATCTGTCAGGCGGTGGTATGCACGTGTTTTCTTTGTTTAAGCCATTTAAAAGAGGAGAGAAAAATAAGGATAAGCAATAAAGTTAACAAGGATACCTGATTGTGAAACAAATTTGTCAAAGTTACTGTGATCTTAAAAAAAAAAAAAAGTTACTATGCATAAATAAGGCTATAAATGCAAAACCACATTAATAAAATTCAGATAATATCAAAGCAAATTATTTTCAATTACAGCCTCAACATGATCTTGAGAAGTTGTGCATCTTTTAACCATGAAACCCTTAGTCTATTCCTTTATAGCAGCCCTGAATATTGGAGGTGACATGTCTTTGATGCCCTGAACTGAAATGACTCACAAGGTGAAGGCTAGCATGTTCAAGTTCAGAAAGGACAGAGGCTAGAAGTACATAGGTTAGAAATTAAGAAAATTAGCTTTGCAGCACTTTTGCATATTCTTGGCTGTGTGGCTTTGTCTTGGGTCTGCACATATTTGCTCTGAGGGGGAAGTTAGCCTTGAGCAATAGCAAAACATTGTATCAGGCATCTGCAAACACCTTTTCTCCAAGCTTGTAACAGAATAGTCTTTATATATTGGCATATAATTTCAGGAACAGGTCATCATTCATGACCATTCTAATACTCTTGAGATCCATTTTAGCTCAGCAGCTTTTTATGCATTGATGTTGGTTCTTTGAAATTTTGGATTTGAAGTGAGGTCAACAAGCTCTTTAACACTCTAATATGCTTGAATCATTGAGATGCTATTGGCCATGTCTAAGATCTTGACATTGCAGACAGCACATTGCATTAATATGAAGCAAACCTAACATTCTTTACCACTTGTTCTGCAAAGCCATTTTTCATAATATCCATGAGAAATGGATGTGTATTAATAGCCAACGACCACTGTCCCAGTTCAATGAGTGAATGCACCTTGTAGGTCTTGCAGAGGACTGTCCTTCTTCAATTTAGATTGGGTTTTTTTAAGGCCTATCAACCTTTTTCAGGTATTTAAAGCCAGAAAATATGTTCAGATTGTAAAAACTTTTGAAGAGAATAATGATTTACTCACAAAAGTCCTATTAATTAACCAATAGCTGGGAAGAGAAGAGGTGGATTTGTACCTTTTCCAAGGTTATTTACAGATAAGTGAATATAACAAACACAACGGGAATTGGAACTCAGCCTTCTGATTTCCAATTCTGTGCTTTTATCCATTACATCACCTGCACATCCAAGTTTGCCACACTTGGTATTCCCAAGCAGTTACTCATTGCTTAACTTTGGTGATTGTATGAGAACCAGTTTTTTAATGAACCTTGTGAGTTGGTACTACAGAATCACAAACAAAGAACAAAATACCAGGTAAAAGAAACCACATCACTTAACAGCTTCCAGTAACAGCAACAAGTAAAATGGATATCACACATAATTTGGAGAAAATAATGACAATGAAAGCGATCTTCCACACTACTTCAAACAAAAGTTCAGATTGATTGTTCATTTTTTTTTTAATGGTTTATCACCCCTTTGTGGGTTATTTAAAGCTGAAACATTTTTTGGATAGTAAGAATTTTGTAAGTTTTTCTTCACAAACACAAAAATCACTTGTATAAAATTGGTATAAATAGATTAAAAAAAATGTATATAAAAAAACAAAATAGGAAAATATTGTTATATGAAAAATGAAAAGAAAAGTCTATTCTATTCACCTGTCGCATACTGTAAGGATATATGTAATTAAAATGGTATTTAACTTCTCGGATTAAACTGACTGTATCTTTATGGGCTTCTTCTGTTTCACCACAAAAGCCAGCAATGAAGTCACTAGAAAGATAAACTCCTACAAGAAAGAAAGACAGAGAGTTAGTTCAGTATGAAGAGAACTAAGATCATATTTCTCTTCTTTTTCTTATTTAGGAGTGGTGAGGTTTCCTTCTTTGAACATTAGCTTTTAAATTCTTATGCTTGAACATCATCTCAGCTGTAAACCAGACTCAAAGACGTGTGGTTTTGAACATGACAAATGTTTAAATATTTATAAATTGATAAGTATTTGTAACAATATGACACTATGATTGGCACACCCTACACAGAGGGAAAATATTTTAATAAAACATGAAACTGAATTTAGTCACTCAGGTGTTTATTCAAATTTTCTTGTTCTGCAGTACACAAACATTTTGAAAAATTGCAGCAAGCTTTAAACTTTTCGTTTCTATCCTTGTAAATGTGTTCAAATAATTGATATGGCAGCCAAATTCCACAACAAAATAAGTAAATTGCAAGTCCAAACTCAAAGATTCAGGGATAGAAAGAAATGTTGAAAAATACAAATCGCAGATCCAATGTCACAAATCCGAGTGTACATGTAAAAAGTAAGAAATCCAACATGCAAGATGATGGATGAGTCAGAAAAATAAAATGACTTCAAATTTGAGAAAACAAACTGCTTTTATCGATGGCACAATTTTTCATAGTCAACAAGTGAGAGAGGACACACAATAGCATATCTGAGATGCAATTATGGCTACAGCTGCGACTGACTTCTTTTTATTTGTCTTTGGCATATCGTACCCAACATATGTACCCTTTTTCTAGGTAAGTGACTTTCTCTTTTGCCATAAAAATTTATGACTAAAAAAGAAATTGTGTAATTATTTCTTGATTTTATGGTAAATAATAATTACTGTATTGTAGTTGGTTTACATATTTTTATGATATTGTAGATATAAAATTATTTTTGTAAATAAGCAATCTGATAAATAGTGTTTAACATTTTTGTTGCCAGTTCTCAAGAAAATATATTTGGCATTTATTAAAATTCTAAAAATAGCTTTTTAAAACAATAAAAATTACCAAGGGTATGTGTGGTAATAGCAGTGTCAAGTGAAAAACTTATTTTGACAGAAAAAAGATAATAATGAACTTCAAAATGTTATTTTTTTTTTTTTTTAACCAGTTGCTAACCCAGGCCCAAAATCAACTCAAGGAAGAGGGTTACTCATTGAGGTTGTTGTATGAATATAAAAGGAGAAGGTAAGTGCAGATGATGTGGATATGTAGGAAAGATAATGGTTGGCTCTAAACTTGAAGAGGTTAAGATTGTAGTAATCAGAGACATATCTGCTTGGGAATCTGTTCCACAAAGTAGCTGTTCTTGGGAAGAGGCCATCCAAATTGAATTTCTTTCTTCAAACCAAAATGGAATACAAAGGGAATGGTGATGATTCATCCCAGTGTATGTGACATGGTGGGTATCAGCTGTGAAAGCTTGAACTGGTAGGATTAAGGAATGTAGCTCATCAGAATACCTAGTAATAGAGTAGTGAGAGGCTGACTTGATAACAGTACTTCCTTGTGTGTGCATGTATGTTTGGTTAGACAGCAGACAACATGAACACTAACAGGGAACACAGGTTATTCTGCCTACTGCTGAAATCAGAGGTTTATACAAGAAATTTAACATCACAACAAGTTTTTTTTTGTAATCTAAACTTTCATTTAGTGTTATTGTAGGTATCTATTGTTGTCAAAACCTTACCAGTCTTATTTTCTTCTAAAATTTCATTGTCATTACCTCGTTGGGTTTTTAAGCTTTAGCAATCTGTAGATGACTATTTTCGCCAAGCAAAATAATAGTCCTGCCAATGCAAGTTGAATTTGAATTTCTTGGTTGTGTAGTTATATCCTTCTATGGCAACAACTAAAACAATCTTGACTCAAATTGAGAGCCAGGCTACTGCAATTTCAAATATATAGAACTAATATATAAAACACTATATTTTGAGGAGATTCCATGTACAGTAAAAAGGGGGAGTAATATTTATAAATAATGCAGAGTGATAAATGTTAAAGTGCATTTTAAGGGAGGAATGAAAGGTTAGAGTAAGAAATTGAGATATTTTGAACAAATGGTAGTGACAGAGATTTTCAAATTTCTTAGCCAGAGTTCTTTTATCCAAATTCTGAAAGTAAATTCAGAGACACAATTTCAAGTCACTTTAACATCCTCTCTTGACATCATTTAAGGGTTCAAATTCATATTTTTTTAAATGTTTATTTTATTTTATTAACCTTCACTTGATCAATGCTTTAATTAGAAACTTTCTTATAATGTTTACTCAACTCTTTCAATGCAAATTTCAGGCACTATTAACCTTCAACCAAAGATTGTTACTGTAGCAATACAATTTCTCACACATCCTTAGGAGATAAATAAATATTCTTTTTAAGTCAATTTAATGAACAGGATTTTTCAGGAATCCTCTCTCCAGCCTGCCTTTGAATTGGCAAACATAAAATTTTGTCAGTGAATTTAGATATTCATAAAAGTAGAGTCTTTTGAAAAACTGATCACCCAAAAGCTGAATGGGTGGTCCCCTTTTCCAGAACACAAGTGGACAGATAGGGGCGATGGGTGGTCCTCCAACCAATATCCACATAATGAATAGTGAGTGAAGCAGTGAGTGAAAAAAGAACCAGCAGTCTGTAAGGAAAAGATCAGCAGTTACTGAGATTGTCAGGCAGTAAGTGTAAGGGTCCTTTTTCCATGGCCCAAAGTTTGTAAGATAGCAGGTGTTCACCTTCTCAAAGCTGAAGGAAGACATTGCCAATTAAATGATTAATTGTATCATTTGCTACTTCCCAAGTAGTGTCTTGAAAAGCATTTCCCATTATTCTTTGTTGAGATCATGGCCGATGAAACAAACCTGTGAACATAGCAAGTCAGGTGTATACACATAAAGCTAACCTTGGATGTCATCACACACAGTTTGTGCAGTGACGTGTGAAAGCTCATTGTTATATTACTCTGTTATGTTCCGAAATACATCTGGTGTTAGGAAAATGAAGCAATATATAGTTTCATAAGTTTTCAGCATCATAATTTTTTTTATTAAAATGATCAGTGGAAAATGTTATGAAGTCATTTCTGACCTTAGGTCTCTGATAGGGTTAGGGTTAACAATAATAAAAACTATCAAAATACAAGGACCTTGAAATTGAAATCTCAAAAATCTGGCACATGGGGGAATCAACAAATTCAGTTGTAGCTGGGGTCCTCAGACTGACTGGTAAAGGTTCCAATAGACTCATTGAAGGAATTTCTGGTAGCTCAAGCTTTACAGAAATACAAAAAAATTGTACTCACAAGTACAGCCCACACCTTATGAAGCGCTTTACCAATCTAAAATTGGTGTAATCTTAGGTTTTTTTGGGTTTTTTTTTTTTCAAAAAAATGTTCAGTGGAAAATGTCATGATGCCATTTCTAGCCATAGGTCTCTGGCTGAGACCTGGAAAGAAATGAGTATACACCAGAAATCAAAGGAAAAAAAAAAAAAAAAAAAAAAATAATAATAAAAAAAATCCATTTGGATCTCAAAAAGAATTTTTTCTCCCATGTTGAAATAGAGATGTTGAGGGCTCTCATGAATTTAACCATTACAGCATTTGATTTAATGGCTGCAGTTTAAGAGTGTCTACCAGTTGGATGTCTTTCAGAGATAAAATAAAAAGTTATTTGTAAATGCAAACTCAAAGTATAAATAATCCAATTAATCTATCAGAAAAGAGTTCAATCAATGTCTGGTCATTAAAATACTGACTTTAAGAACTCTACAGTCTCTCCTTGTAAGTCTGTAGAAAATATATAAAGGCAGAAAGAAGCATTGGCCTGTGACATTATGCAAACTTTTTTGACATTTTTATTGGTTGCAAAACTTGAAAGCATTCTTCTCTCTAATGGCAGTTTTTTTTAGCTTTGAAACTGTCAGTCATGTGAAAATAAATTTAACTTTTTTTAAAAAAAAATTATTGGTGCTCCAACCCAAAACGTGTAAGCATACAAAATCTGAAATTGACACTGGTTTTAAAATTTTCTTCATTCTCGTGTGTTGTAATGAATCTATTTTTTATCTTCAGTGACTAACTTTATTTTTCTTTTTGAGCAAAAAAAAAAACACAAGTCTTTCAATACCTATGTACATGAAGAAGCCATTATTTTATTTGCAGAATTGATCACTGAAAATCAAAATACTGACAATAGAAAAGTTACCAGCTTAAAAGTTAAGGCTATATGTCATGTTAGAAATTGTCCTTTGGTGTCTATGCACAAAGCCATTGAAATTGCTTCCTTTAACTTTCTGAGGGAATATCAAAGAAAAGAAAGGAAGTTGGCAGCCATAAAAAAAATTCAGTATCTAGGCAACAGGCTGATAGAGCTAAAGAACAATTTTATCAAATTAACAGAAACTATTCACTCACCTGGGACTACTTTTTGGATGTGAGAAACAAGGTTGAGGTAACTCTCTCTAGTGTAACCTCGCCGCATTCTTTCAAGCACTTCATTGTTTCCACTTTGAGCAGGTAAATGGATTTGCTTACAAATGTTGGGCCGTTCATTAATCAACTGAAGCACCTGGAATCAATGACAATTTAAATTGGTTGGTCTGAGGTCTTCATAGTATCTCATTTATTATTTGATAAATGTAAGTTTAGGTATAATCAAAGCAGGGTTTTTAATTAAATTGGCTTTAGTCTATGTTTTGAGATCAAAATACACACAACATGAGAAATCTTGGTTATCTCCTCTAATTACAAAGTGCGGATAGATAAGTTCAAAGAGTACTACAATTTTGGAACAAGGCTAAACTTCCATTTTCCGATACTATTTTGAATTCTTCTACACTCTACATGATGTGTAACATCAATTAAACCCACATTAATGTTTTGCAATTTTTTTAAAACAAAAATGGCTGCATCAACATCTGACAAAGCCTTTATTCAAGACTTTTTCTTTGATTCAGATTTTGATGATGATTTTGAAGGCTTTTACTCAAGTGGATATTTGGTCATGAGATGATAACCATGCTTGCGACGTGGAGGAAAGCAATGATGACCACTAGGTGCCAAGCAGCTACTGTCATCCATGGCTGACTAATTTTATGGAAGTTATTGGCCTCATGGATGTACCTGAAAGTGAATTATCTCATCTATTTATAAACAATGAAATAATATCTCTATGTGTCAATGAGACAAATAAATATGCTAGTCAAGTAAAAGAAAGAGCAAAAAAATTCTGGTATATTTTTGATACATGGAAGCATGTCACTTTTTTGATGAAATGAAAGCCTTCTTAGCCATTTTGGTTCTTATTGCATCCCAGAACTCCACAAGGAGTAATAAAAGTTGAAGTATGTTAAATTGTTAATATATTTATTTTTTATTTTGTGTTTCAATTTTTTTTTTATTTTCAACGTCAAATCATGCATATAAAACGTAATGCATTACATAATACATAACATCAAAATATTACTTATCTATTCTTTAATTAGTATACAAAAAATAAAATCTATACACACAATACAAAGAAAGTTATAACAATTTTAAAACAGTAGGCATTCATGTTTTTGTGCCCTTAAAAAAAAAAATGGAGTGGCAGGGGGCACAGTTCTAGAAAGAATTTAGTGTGGTAAAGGTTAAGCAAGAGTAAGAATAGCAAAGAGATTCCTTTTTGACAGAGGCCAAACCTTACAAGAAAACTAAAAAAGATGGTGATACATAGCCATTCTTAGTTGGTGGTGCTATCCATGTGGTTGATTCAAGAAAGAAACTCCAACTCACAGGAAAAACCCAAGAATTGCTGTTTCCTGTTCATGGAATATATCCTCGCCTGGGACATAGGAGATGAATAAAGCCTGTTTGAACTGGGAGTCTTAAACATGACTTCACCTGATACAGGAGTATCTCAATATTATATGTAAGACCCTACCTTTTTGTTTCTCCTTACATTATACCTTGCTGTGTAGATATAATATTTTGTTTTCCATGTAGGACACATGTATATATAGTATTATGGATGTCTTATGAAACTCTCTCAGAGGACAAAGTATGTTTGTCATTCCTTTTCCTTCCAGCCATTCTATTCTGTCCGTGAAGTACAGTATTATTATATCACAAATATAATAATGCCCATAATGGGGGAAATACAAATGGAAGAATAAATATTTCTACCATAGCTCATCCACATTACAAGGTTATGTAACTCAATTTCAGTGGCCTTCCTGTTTGTTTCTTCATGCTAAAATAAAGGTATCATTATTTTATGCAGTAATTAATCTTTTCATTTCATTTGTTACCTCAATATTTATTAATACACCAACTTTTATTTTAAAATCAAAAAGAGATTATGAATTTGAACTGAATGTTGCATGAATACACCAAAACTTACGGCATCTGGAAAATCTTTGGGGTGAGGTGAAGTGAATCGTATTCGCATTTCTGGATCAATTAAGGATACTTTATCCAACAAATCAGTAAAACGCCGACCACCTTTTTTTGGTTTGTAGACAGTAGAGAATCCAGCCACTGTTTCTAATTCATAGCCCCCAAGTGAATCCCATTGAGTCAGATCTCTATAGCTGTTGACATTCTGGCCAAGTAATGTTACTTCCTTGACTCCCTGCAAATATAATAATCAAAATATTGAAAGTTATTAACAGTCAAATATTGTCATTGTCATTATACAGTAAATGTTTTTGAAGAAAGCAGAAAATATATTTAAGTTTTTCAAAATTTTCAAAGTGCTTTTGTTTAATTTTCTTTTGAATTAGAACAAGAATAAGTTTCTATGAAAAATCTTATTTATGTAAATGTCTGGATATAGAAATTCAATAAATTAATTTTTGCTGTTTCCTTTGTCTACATACTGGTATTCTTTAGAAAGCTGAAACTTTAAAATAGAGCATAGTGATGTCATGTGTAATGGTTTAGGGGAGAGGGACTGCACCCAAAATATAGCCAACATAATCTTGCCTACCACACAGACACCACATGGTTATTAAAAATGATGGTGACAGTTGAAGTACTTGAACAAAACAACAGAACAAATATGAACTTCAAACAGTTTATCCATACATTTCAATCTAAATATACATCTTATTAAAAAATTGAAAAAAATACAGTAATTAAACGAGCAGACTTTGCCAGTTGAATTTAAACAAACTTGTCTGGAGATTATATATATATATATATATATATATATATATATATATATATATAAGGGATGAGTTTAAACTGTGGTGCCTGTATTCAATGCCATGGAGCTATTAAAAAACAAGTAATTTTTGCCTTCAATAAAAAAAAAAAACTTTTTTTCTTTTAAATAACAAAAAAATGTTATGTTTTTCTTAATAAGATGGAGTGGGGATTTTCAAAGAAAAAATTTGACAAGAGCCCTAGCAGATATATTTTCAAAGAAAAGAGGTAGGTGAAAAAAATTTCAACAAAAGTTTATTTCAATCTTGCCCCTCCACCAGCTTTTGGAAATTAAATGAACATCATATGTATACACACACATTACATAGTAATAATACATTTCATTTTAAAACAGAAATACTTAAATAGACTGGCCCCCACCAAAAAGGAAAGAAAACTACATGTATGTCAAAAAGTCATGGATCAGTTTGAGATATTTATATTGTAAACAGGACCACCCCGCTTTCCGCCATCTAAAATGACTGAAAATTAATGCTTTACGATTCTGACAAATTGACTGAGTATTGGAAGTTAAATGCTAGGCAACAAAAATTAGTCATGAAAATATTTTTATCTAAAAGAAATTACTAATTAATATTCATGTCGGAATGTAAAGGATCATTTGACTTTTACTGTACATATTTCTTTTGTTTCATTAGTTATTTTGATTTTATGCTGAAAAAGCTTTATATTTTTGTACAATGATACAACAATCTTGTTCTTTCCCCAACATATTCTAAGCTAGTAATGTAATGTTTTATTTCTTTTTTGAAAATGTTCCACTGCAATGCATCATTGCTAATAAATCTAATCATCATAATCTATGTTATTTGTCAATACAAATACTTGATTTTGAAGCTTTTTGTTTATTTTTAGCAATTTTTTTAAAAAGATTTTCATGAAAATATTACTTTTTACAAATAAAAAAACATAAATTTTGCAAATTCTAAAAACATTGCTGCAATGTCCTTAGTCACTGCTGTGGTGCTCTCATTTTTAAAGGGTGCATCAAGGCAATTTTTGCCTGCTCCTATCTTAGTCTAAGCACATCCCTATCCCTATATATACCTGCACTTTTTCACAGAAAAACAGCATAGCATGATGAAAAAAGGCCCCAAACTCAATAAAAACAAAGTTTTGGTGTCAAAATGTTTGTTGTTATTAAAAGGAAAGACCAAAGTATTTTTGATTATTTTTTTGAAATTTTTTTGAAATTTTTTAATCCTTTCTATCATGTTTCAAATTTTGGTTCAAAATCTTGTTTTGTTTATGTCAGCAGTTGATGTAATAATCACGATTAGTTTTTTGCACTTTTTCCCCCAGTGAAAAACACATTAATTTGGAAATTCTTGCAAAAATCAAATAATTGTTGGATTTTAATGAAACTTTCAGGACATATTCAGAAATGAATTAAATTATTAATGAAATTTTTTTTTTTTTTTTTTAGAAAATTTTGGTAATAAATATTTTTTATTTACATGTTACTACTCACTTACTCACATAATTTAATGAAATTTTAAAAAATTCAATTTTTAGGGTGAGGATTTTTTTATTAGTTAAAAGCAGGAGTCCTTGGTGAATGTAAATCATAATTTTTTTTGTAAAGCAGTTACCCATTCACTAAAAATCTGCTCTGAATTGTAAAGTAAAAAATGCAATAAAACTATGACATTATTTAATTAGAAAAGCTTTTAGTTGCTTTTATAAATAAGATTTATTAAGGATACTATTGTTTTAAGAAAAAAATTTTTTATGATGAATAATTAATTTTTACAAGAATTGTCTTAATATTTTATAATTTTAATTAAATAATTTATAATATTAAAATTAGTTTCAAATTCTCCATTACTTCAAGGCAGTTAGGTGATAGTATTATTAAATGAAAACTATATTTACAAATCAAAAATTGAAAAGCTCATCACAGTCACTTGTACTCAATATTTTTAAAAAATAATAAAAAAAATTTCTTTTGTGTATAAATGTACCCAATTTGTAACTATGGTAAGCCATAAATGAAATTATCCTTTAAAAGGTCTCGTGATTTAAGACATGCCTGGTGCTCTGAAATTCTTTCACTTTCATTATTCAGTTGTTTCATGGTTAATATCTTTGCAAATCATCCCTTCAATATTTTAGCTTTATACTTTTTTAATTACAATTTCACCAAATATTTTTTATTTCATGTATTTATTTTAGTTTTGGTCATACTTCAATTAAGTAATTTTTTGTTTAAGTTGGTAAACTTAAGAACCTAGAGACAAAACCCAAATTTCATAAAGCATCTTCAAGCTTAACTAAAAGTAAATAAAATATTAGATAATTGCTGAAAATATGTTAATTTGTAAAAATTACTAGGTAGTTAAAAAAAATGCGTTCACTTAGATTTTGTAAATTTATGTCAATTCTGGTCATCCATATTACTTGTCAGAACTTATTGATATGTCAATAAAAACAAAAGAAAAACTAGACCTGTTGTTAAGAAATGCGTGTATATTACTTTTTTTATGCGATAAGTAATGTGTTTTTCAATCTGAGGTTTTTTACAACTGAGTATTAACTGCTTAAGAATCTCTCATCACGGGGCCTTTTTACAGACAAGCAATATGGCTTTCATTTCTCTAGGTCAACTTCTGGTGTACTGCTGATAATTGTGGAAAGAGCCTATCATGCACTAGATAAAAATGGTCAAGCTCATTCTGTACCTTTGGACATCGTAAAAGCTTTCAACATTTCGTATACAGGCCTTTTCAACAAGCTGAAAAGTTATGGTGTCTCTGGACAAATTTTTGCCATATCAATAATGGCACCGTTATTGCTCAGCAATGAAACCCCATGTGCTGAGCATGGTGGCATTGTGAATGAAGTGAGATGTGAATTATTACATTTTTCCCTTTCTTTAGCTGATTACCATTCTTGTCACCACAGTAACTGCTTCACCTGCAGGTAACTTGTATTGTGTTACTGATGTCAGTTTGAAATTTACATAATTTGTGTTATACATTTGCCTGGGGAAAAATGAGCATAAACTATCTTTCTGACTCCAACAATTATTCCAGGAGTAAATGTCATTGAATTGGTCCCTATTTTATAGCTGTTGCAGTTACCACCCTATTATGCCATGCACGCATCATCCAGGCTTAGGTGGGCAAAACTACAAAATTTTGGGGTATTCTACATAGAATGTAGATTTCAATTGGTTCTACTAGATAAATGAATACAATGCAATGACTGCTTTGTTGAAAACTGAGGAAAAAGTGGATTTGTCAGGAAGAAAAGCATGAGTATAAAAACAGAGCAATTATCACCTATGAAACAGAATGCAGTCTTAACAAATGGACAATATTGATAGGTATTATGTCAAATTCTCTCTTTAAGATATTCATTGCTAATTTTTTTTTTACCTGGTCTGATAGTAGCCGAATTTCTTCAAGAATAGATTCAACTGGTCGACTCCTCTCTCTACCTCGTGTGAATGGAACAATGCAATAAGTACACATATTATCACAGCCCCGCATAATAGATCTAAATAAGAACAAACAAAAATGAGTGTGTGTATGTTATATATGATAAAATAGAGTTTTTAGGTACGATATATTTATAGATTAAAGTGAGCGCAAGGTAAATATAAAAGTGAACATTGAAGTTAACAACCAGAGGCAACAGTCTTATTTCATGCTTAAATGCAATCATTAGGCCATATGTGTTGCGTTTTTGCTCAACTATTTATACATACAGATGAGTAATGCATTGTGGCAGTGTACTTTATTAATATAATGGTGGCCAGTAATTGTTATGTTTCAAATTATGCTAGTGGCTATGGGGTGGAAATAATTGTGGATGCAGTTTTTTGGCTATTTACAGTGTTGTTTCTTAGCTTTTATTATTGATTATTTTATTCTTGGTTGTTATTATTACATTTACTTGTGTATGTGAGTGTGTTCATGGTTTGTTAATTTCTTTATTATTTACTTAATTTATTTACTTATTTATTGGTTTGGATTAATTTATTTCACTTATTTTATATATATATATTCTGATTCCCTGAAGATTACAGTAGTGTGAGACTTAAGTAGCAGTCTGAAGTAACCTTGTATCTTTCTGTGGTGTAATGCTGAAAAGCATAACTGCTCTCGTTTGGCAACCTAAGCATAGAGCACTTTTTGTTACTGTTTAGGTAGGTGTCAGTATTCTGCTCTTTTTTAAATTTTTTTTCTTTGTTTCTTTTCCTCTGTTTTCTTAATGTTGTTTAATTTTGTCCTTGTTTTTGATCTATTCATTGTTAGTGCTTCTTTTTATTAAGTTTCCTTTTGGTCACCAGGCAGGCTTTCCGTTGGTTGTACCAAGACTTTGGTGTTTCATGAATATATAAATATACTTATGCATGTGTATATATACATAATAATTTTAATTATATACATATACATCACCATCATCATACATTAGGTGATCTATTTCTTTGCCAATTAGCAACACATTTTTTAACATTCATTGAGCTTGAGAAAATCAGTTTAGAGTCTGTGCTCACCAAGTTGGCTCAAGATCATAATAAATTTATATAAGTCATTGTTAGTATAAAAATTAATGACAAAGTAGAAAAATTTTTTCCATGCGACACATTTCATCTTTTAGGACTTCAGACTAAAGTGATGATTATGTAATTACACATGTGCACAAAGGAGAAGGGATGCCGAAATATTAATCTCTTAAATTTTAATTTTTTTTAAAAATGTGTGTGTATATAGTCTAGCCAATTTCATTTGATTTCCTTCTTTTTTTAAACAAAAATTGGTAAAAACAAAGAAAAAGAAAGTATATGAAATTGGCTAGACTATATACACAAACACATTCCTCTCCTGTGCAATTACATAAATTAAAGATCACTTTAGTCCTAAAGGATTAAATGAGTTAATGGACCAAATTTTTTTATTAGTAATTATTTGTCATTAACTTTCCTCATATATATATATATATATATATATATACATACATACACAGAGTACAATGGGTAAATTGTCACCATTTTATGTTTTTGATTTTGCACATGCACATTGTTGTTTCTGATTTTGTCAATTGAACAGTATAGTAGAGTCAGTTGGACACTGTGAGAAAAAGTGCACCATGACACAATGCACTCTGCCAAAAATTGAGAAACGGCATGTACTCCTGCTTGGCGTTTGTGCCAGAAGCTCCAATACATACATTTCAGAGTGTTTGTATGGCAATTTGAGGACAGTGCAGAGGATTAGAAACAGTTGAATGAGTGAGAGACCAACAAAACTCCTTATCATGCCAAAGGTGAACTGAAGGCAAGGACTGTAGCAGCATTCACCAACTTAAACAAGGAAACCAGAGTTGCAGGAGATTCTGAAGTTTTCTGGTGGTTGTGGTTGAAGCCAATGGTGATTTTATTGAATAAATTTTCTCTTTAGTTTTTCAAGATATTTTTGTGTAATTTTGGTAAATATATCTGTTAAAATGTGATGTCAGTATTATTTTCATTTTTTCCTACTTTAGACAACAATTTATTCATCAAACCCTGTGTATATGTGTGTGCATATATATCATTATTAAAAGCAAAATTCATTTTTAAAATTTTGAAGTAATTTATTTATTAGGAATTCAATTTTTGTTTTAATTGATCATATTATTAGAATAAAAGTATCTTTGAAAGCCAGGAAAAAAATCCATCAACTTACACAAAAGCTGATTTACTCTCACTGTCCATCCTGATAGGCAGAATATCAGCATAAGTTTCATCTGAAGAAAGCATTACGTTAACTAAAAGAAAAACAGAGGAAAAAAGAACAATCCCGTCTTAGAAAGAGAAAACAAAAAATAAACAAGAAGAAAACAAACATCAGTTCTTTTAAGAAACTCACTTCAAGAAGTTTTAATATTGATTTTTTTTTGTTGGAATGATAATGCCTCTTCTTTCCATATGGATAATGAATTGGCCAACTGTCCAAAAATATTTTGGAATGATACTAGTTGAAAATAACAGATAAATTTATAAAACTTTCATTTCATTTCTGAGATGAGTTATTATCAATATTCTTGTGTTATCCAAATCTATTTTTATCATCTTGGTTGATATAGATGTTATAAACACAAAGTACACACTGGTCATCATCAAGTGCACATTGATTGGCTGATTATTGTTATTTTTTTTCCTGTGAATATCAGTTATTGTTTATGCCTGCCGAATTGGTGCTTCCCAAGGATTGAACGCATGACCACCAGACACACACATATAACCAACTCTTATATCCACCATGCCACCATCCTGAAGAACATTAGTGGGGTGTTTTTGGAGCTTTCAATATTCAATATTTGATGATTTTGACATTAGGCTATGATAAATCACTGTGCAACATGATTGTTGTCCATCTGTAGAAAATGTCATTTTCTATCTGCTCATGCCTGGAAAGTATGAAACATGGCTAATACTTCTTTCAAACTTTGCTTTTGTGACTAGGATAATGATATTTCTGAAATTTACCTATTCCCAGTGGGAAACCTGGTGAATGTAAGTATTCTAGTTCAAGCAAAGTAAGAACAAAATGACATAGGATTCAAAAGTAGCATTTATTTATTCTAGGATTACTTACACAAGAAAGACCACAAAAAATTTTACAAGCGAGTAGTTTTTCGTGATTTACTGTAAATTTCAAAAATCAGTTCCCAAATATAGTCTCTCATCATGTTTTCATTATATGACACTTGGAAGTGGCATTCAAATATTGGCCATTAGCTCCAATAAGAAGCTCATCTGATCTCATTCTGAGACATTACACATTATATCACCTGAACATCCAAGCATACAACACCAGGTATGGCCATATCATATTGAAACACTAGTTCTCACCCATCAAGCCTAGATAGGTGACCACTTGTGAATATATACACATCTCCTAAAAATAAATATACATTTGTTCCTCAACGTTTACAACAACTTCACACAGATAGCAATTGCCAGTCACAAATGAAAAACTGACTATTGTAATACTATTGTAATATTTATAGCCTCTTGGTAAGTGGTGACAGCCATTTGTTTCATGCTTGAACACAGTCTTCAGGCCATAAATATTGTGTTCAAGCATGAAACAGACTGTTGTCACTTGGTGTTGACCTCAGTGTCCACTTTTATATTTATATACACTCTAACACTGATATTCAGCATTCTTACCCATGAATATAGAATACCTTAAAACTATATTTTTATCATATATATATATAAAGATTGACTGAAAAGTTCATAGGCTGACCAAGAAACTCTCATAAAATGTGACCAAATGAGGTTTATTTTTCAACATAGTTCAACTTGCAGTTCACATACTTCTTTTATTGGTGTTGCAGTGTTTGGATCCTATTGAACAAGCTTTTATCCTGTTGGTTAAAAAAGTCATTACTGTGATACAGGTTCCCAGCCAAGTGTCTTTTCATGTTGGGGAACAGATTATAGTCAAATCAGGAGACTAGGGAGAGTGATCAACCAGTTCAAAACCATCGTCACACACAGCAGCCCTTGAAGCCAAGGTCATGTGCTGTCATAATGAAACAAGATCCCTTTTATCAGCTTTCATAACTGCAAATTAGTACAGTACTCTACATTGATGGCATAACCCTTTTAAAGATAATCAATAAATACAATGCCTTTTGCATCAGAAAAAACTGAGGCCATCACTTTTTCCTGAAGATGAAATAACATTGGCCTTCATTGGAGCAGGTGAGCAGGGATGTTTCTACTGCACAGATTTTCTCTTTATCTCTGGCTCAAAGTGGTGAACCCAACACTCATTCTGGGTTAAGAAACATTCAAGAGAACCAGCTGGATCTGGCTCAAACAGTGCCAGATTTTCCTGTGATGTAATCAAACTGGTCAGATGTCAGGAAATATAGAACCCATCAAGCAGAAACCTTCATCATGCCAAGTTCATTGTGTAGAATAATCTCAACAGAGATATGCTAATAGCACTGGCTATTTGATTTATATTCAATCGCCTGTCATCCATCACCATGTGATGAACACAATATTTTCCTCAGTGGTGGCAGTTGCAGAAAGTCCAGACATTAGGTCATCTTCAAGACTCTCCTTTCCCCTTTTAAATTCACCTACACACTTTTGCACTGTTGATGACACTGGAGTGTCAGCTCCTAATCCCCTAATGTAACAACCATGTCAGCATGAATATCCGTGGGGGCTAAACCTTTTTTTGCAGGTTCTTGATAACACCACAAAGCCAAATTTTGTTAATTTTCAAAGGAAGTTGTTACTAGTTATTTTTTAAGTCTTCTTTGATCAATCAGGTGTCAGTTTACCTGGAAATAAACAATGCAGTTATTAATAAGAAGATTTTAAATTAATGCATTCAAAATGTCACAGCTCTAGCATCACTCTTTCATAGTCAGCCTATGAACTTGTCAGCTCACCCTTGTATATACAGTGGGTGTAAACAAATATTCATATGCATACAAATTTTTAATTTATTGTATTTCCAACTAATGAATAAACATACTTTTTATATAATTAACTCTACACAGATGCATAATAAATATCTATGCATAGAAAGCAAAAATAATTGATTTAATTGAAATAAATCCCATTCATCCATTTGTGAAAAAAGTATGGGTGAAAAAAGTATTTATACAATACAACAAAGGATTCATTTAATACTTTGTAGAATAGCCATTATTCACTTCTACAGCAACCAACCTCTTCTTGTAGATCTCAATGACTTGAAAATTTTAGTTGGTATTTTGTTCCATTCTTCTTCGCATATGGTCTTCAGGTCTGGGATATTTCTTGCAGCTCTTGATTGGATTGGAATTTTCAAATAATGCCAAAGATTCCCAATTGGGTTTAAATCTGGGGACTAACTTGGTCATTTCAGGATATTTACATTTTTTTTAGCAACCCATTTCTTCATAGATTTTGCAGTGTGCTTAGGATATTTATCTTGTTGGAAGATCCAATCAGGAGGAAGTTTTCAAATGAAATCCTTAAATTTGCTTCCAAAATATTTTGATATGCTGTGGCATTCATTCTATCATCTATTACTGATATGTTGTCAGTACCTTTTACAGAAAAACATCCCCAAACCATGATGCTTCAAACCACCAAATTTCACTGTTAGAACTGTCTTCTTTTGTTTCAAGGTATTGTTATCTTTCCTCCATACATGTTTTCTAGAATTATGTCCAAACAACTCAGTTTTGGTTTCAACTGTCCATAATACTTATATGATTTTTCCTTATCCTTATGTTTACAAACGAATTTCAGCCTGGCATCTCTGTGTCTTTTAAATTGCAGTGGAGTTTACCGAGGAGAACGTGACTTTAGATTGTTCCTATGAATTTCATTGTTTATTGTCCGTTTAGTGATACAGATTCCTTATGAAAGCAAATCATTCTACAACTCTTGATGGGTAACCATTTGATTTTGCTTAATTTGACACATTAATTTCCTCAAAGATCTTACAGAAATCTTCTGTGGAGCACCTGTTCTTCTTTGGTCTTTGTGGTGAACAGCCCTGTAGAAGCAAGCGAGCCAGAGTGGCTTGCATCTGGTACATAGGAAAATAAGGGTCTTACCTTAACGTGTGGCACGTGACATCTGCAAGTTTGCTCCATGAAAATGGCATTACTCTCCCGTGTAGCAATTCTAGCAGTATATGCGGTAATGAGGGTTTTTGTACAGTTTGGAATGCTTCCACCAATAGCAAGTCGTATGCTGATTGGTTGAACTGGAGGAGGCTATTTGCCTGGATAACTGAGAATAAAAGCGAAGAACGCTGATTGGTTGGTCGACCGCAGTGTTGGCCTGATAAAAGAGGGCTGAAGCAGTGAAAATGGGAGAAGAAAACTCGGATTTACTTTGTGAAGTGTGCAGAAAGCAAGAATAGCGAATTGAACCAGTGGTATCTGGATTTCTACACGTGACATCATAGTAATAGAGACTCATTTAAACTACAGTTTTCAATAGTTCTAAGTTTTTTATAGCTTGCAATGAATGAACTAATGCTAGTAAAGGGAACATTCAGGTTGTCTGAGATTTTCCTGTAAATTTTACTTTCTTTCCAGAGCTTAACAATCAGTTCTTTTTGCAAATTTACCAATTCTTTATCTCTTGACATGGTGAAAACCTTCTTGCACAAATATCAATTACAGAATGTTCTGTTTGTATTTTGGGGACTAAAAATAGCTACTGATAACATAATTGGAACATTCTACAGTATTCCACTTGAATAATCTAGAGTATTAAAGTAATTTAAAAATTTTAAAATCTGAAATTTGTATACTTTTTTACCCATTAAAATAGATAAATGAGATTTATTTCCATTACATTGGAATTTTTTCAGTTTTATATGCATATTTAGTTATTCATCAGTGTAGAGTAAATTATATGAAAATTATGTTTATTAATTAGTTGGAAATACAATAAATTAAAAATTTGTATGTGTACAAATATTTGTTTTACCTCCACTATATAATATATATACATATATATATATATATATATATATATATATACATACATACATACATACAGGTGGACAATAAAATCAATGCCAAACAGTTGAAACTGATTGTCGCCACTTGGTGCCGACCTCAGTGCCCACTTTTATATTTATATTTACATATGATCTATCTCTGATATTGATCACTTTTACCCTTAAATAAAGCATACCTTATATATATATATATATATATATATATATATATATATATGCACACTAAAGATGGGTGGTTTAACTTAAAAAGCCAACTTTTTTCAATTTCATCTTCACACTGTGAAACCACATTGAAATTTTTATGAAACCAAAATTATTCCAGTTTTTTAAGTGCTATCACTACTGAGTGACCATATCCAAAGAAACACTATTGAAAAAGACTTTCAGATGTTAATAAAATTTAATTTTATCAACATTTATACCATTCTAAGAGAAAAAGATTGAACAAAGATATGTTAAAAAAATTTAATTGACTAGTTTTAGGAAATAAATGTGAAATCTATTTGTTTACAAAAGAAATGAAGAAGAAAAAAAGGAAATACATGATGTCTGAAATCTATTTGTTTCAGTTTTCAAAAATAAACTTTTTGTGGTAAAATTAAGTTAACAACAAAATAGCAGGTAAAAATAAAAAAATAGTTGCCAGTTTCGTCTTAATGTTAAATTTATGTCGGATTTTTCGTAAGAGTTTTCTAGTAAGCCAGTTGAGTACGCCAATCATGAAATAAAGTTGTTGTAAACAAGAAAAAATGAATGAAGATCTTTTTATAAAAAAATTTGTTTTTTATCTAGTTAATGTCCCGAAATTAGATATTAAGAATAATTAAAATAGGTCTTAATTTCACTTTTAAAATGTGTATATTTCCAGGAGTCCCTAGTGTAAAAATTGTTTGTTTTCTACAAATAAAATGTTTCTATCTAGTGAATACACCTAAAATTAGATATTAAAAAAAACAAGTTTTAGTCTCAGTTTTAAAATGTGTATATTTACAAAACTGCAACTCATTTTTTAAAAATCCAAAGTAAAAATTATTATTTTTTAGTGTTTGGTGGGTGTTTGTTACTGTTCTGCCAATAAAATTCTTCTAAACAAGGAAAATTAATTCATTTTATTTTTACAAATATCTTTATGGTTTTATCTAGTAAATATGCTTAAGATTATATATTAACATGATTAATATAGTTTTTACTTTCAGTTTTAAAATGTGTATCTAAAAAAGAACAGGTGATACTCACAGATTTGGAAATATACTCATTCTAAAAATGAAATTAAAAGCTTTTAATTATTTTTCATATTTAATTTTAGGTGTATTTGCTAGATAAAAACAAATTTATTTAGGAGAAAAGAAATAACTCATTGTTTTTCCTTGTTTAGAAGAAATTTATTTGCAAAACCCCAATAACAGTTGACTGGTGCATCAGAAAATAATTGCCATATTTTTAAAAACATGAGGGGGTTTCATTTTTTGGCTTTTTAAAAGCCACATCATAAACTAATTTCTGGAGAGCTATACTATTTTCTCTCTCAAAATGTGTTGTCCAAAGACACAAATATAGATAGTTTATCGATATGATGATTTCTTTTGTATTTCACTATACAGGGTATGATCAATAAATTGTTGTCTAAATTATGTAAAAATGAAAATAACACTGACTGGGAAGTTAGGCAGCCAGATGTAAGGGGTCATGTGATTGTAGACATAGTCTAACAGCCATGTTGTTCCTGCTTGTGTGGCATGGTGCTGAATCCTGTTGTTAGATACAGGGTCTTCCAGCAGCCATCCTCTTGACCCAGGGCAGCACTACCTCCTCAAAGCATGATGTAGGCTTCCATGTTGAGTCAAGGCCCTGTGGGAAGATGAATGGAGGCATAACATTGCCATCACTCATGATCACTCCAAACACCTTTATAATCACCATTAGATTCATCCAACTCTTTCTGAATCCTCTGCACAGTCCTCAGATTGACACCCAAAATGAAAAAGTTTGTATTGGAGCATCTGGGGCGAATGCCAAGCAGTACAGCATGCTGTATCTAAATTTCCGGCAGAGTGAATTATGTCATGGTGAACTTTTTCTCACAAATGGTGCCCAACTGACCCTACTATACTGTGAATTTGACAAAATCAAAGATGAGCACACAGTTTCTGTAACTATGACATACAGACCCGATGTTAGTATATTAATAATCTTTGTTGTTTTTTGGGGGGTGGGAACTAGCATCCTTATCTTTGTTATTTTTAGCACAAAATTTGGTTGATGTGCTCACCAGTTTTACTTAGGTCTATGTTGCATCCTCAGAGCTTTGAATGAATTACAATGTTCTGGCAAGTGTACTCATTGAACTTTATTATTGAAATAAATACTTAAAAATCATAGAAAAAAATTTGGAAAGATTTCACAATAGCCACAAAATCTTGTGAGAAATTCAGATAAGCTGATGTCATTCACTGGTAGACAGAGTGGAGGAATTAACAGGTATAATTAATATTTTGTAGAAAGGAAAAAAAATAAATTGGTGAATAAATATTGCATACCCGCAGCTCGACCCTTGTTACTTAGAGATAGTAATCTTGGAAGATCTCGATATGCATCAGGTCCACACACAATATCAACCATTTTCTCTTGATCGATAATTTTTGTTTTTAGGCGCTCTGCCATGCAGCCTAAACAAACAGAAAAATCATTTAAATGGTTATTAGCATGCAGAAAGCAAATTACACAAACTAAAGAAAACCTGAAATGAAAGCATAAGAATAAAATTTTGATTTTATTATTACAATTTAGCTTTTTGGAGGCCAAAGGTGAAACATAAAGCCTCTTGTTGCACTGCTCCTAGTTAGACAAAAAACAGTGGCAACAATATTTTTCACATGTAATGATGGTTTTTTGCATTGTTTCTACAGTTTATCAACCCTTAAAGCCAGAAAATATTTTTAGATCGTAAGAATTTTGTTTTTTGAAGATAATAATGATTTAGTGATACAAGTCTGACTAATTAACCTATAGCTGGTGGGGAAGAAGTGGATCAATTCCTTTCCTAAGGGTATTTGCATATAAGTGAATACAACGAACACAACTGTAATTGGAACTCGACTCTCCAATTAACATTTCCCAGCCCTTATCCATTATACCACCTACACACCTTACACCATTATACCACCTGAAGCACCTTGTATTCCTAAGCAGTTACCCATCTAAGTTGTGACTAATGTTGCCTAACTTTGGTGATTGTACAGGAAGCAGTATTTTAATGCTATATGGGTGTAAGTATATGGAAGACAATATCAACAAGGCAATATTTTATATTTCTGTTTTTATAAATAACTGTTTATGCATTTCACCTTTGCTAGGCTTCATCAGGTCAAAAACAAAAGCAGAAAATATGTGTATTTGTGTGTATGCTTAAATAATAAATCCTTAGTCCTTTTTCTGCTAAGCTGGCATTTCTTGTGATGAAAGAAAAGAATAAAATTGAGTGATTTTGTAAAAAAGCTGTTAATATTTATTTTCTTTCTTTTCTTTAAAATTTTCTAATTTTTGTTCAAATTTTACATTCTCCCAGTTTTTCTGTTAGTTAAATCCTATGTTAAACCATTAGTATTTTTTCTGATAAGCTGGTGTTTCTCGTGATGAAAGAAAAGAATGAAATTTTGCAACTTTTGTAAAAAAGCTGTTTTTTTGTTTCATTTGTTTTTTTTTTTTTTTACACACATTTTTTAATTTCATTTTTGATCTGATGAATGTAGAGCAAAACATATAATCTAATTTCAATAAAACAGTTTTCTATTTGTCATATTCTTCAAATATAAAACTGAGTAACAAGGAGAGAAGATACTCTAGTATGTTTGCAAAGACACTGAAAGTTAGGAATTGTGTATGGTTGTGACACACATGTGATACTGCTTGACAGCATCACCTACTGACTTCATGCTACCTCCTGCTTTCCTGCCTGCTGGAAGTCATCATCTGTTGTTTTAGTTTTTAAGAACTCTGGTGAGCCATCTGACCCTTCCAACTATTGGCCTATTAGCCTTCTACCTCTTTTTGAGAAACTTCTGGAGGCCCTAGTCAATAGTTCATCATCTCTCATTGTAGAGCCTTTTCTCAGACAAGCAATATGGCTTTTATTTCTCAAGATCAACTACTGATGTACTGATGAGAATTGTGGAAAGAGTCTATCATACTCTAAATAAAAACAGTGAAACCCAGGCTGTATCACTGGACATCTTGAAAGTCTTTGACAGAATCTGGCACTCAGGTCGTCTCCGCAAGCTGAAAAGTTATGGTGTCACCTGACATTTTTTTGAACTGATCCAGTCTTTCCTATCAGATTGTGAAATGAAAGTTATCCTGAATGGCCACTCATCTAGATCCTTTCATATTAACGTGGGTATCCCCAGGGCTCCATGCTTGCACCTACTCTGATTTTAATTTTCATTAATGACCTTCCTAAGGACATCAGCTCCCAACTTGGCATCTACGTTGACCACACAACCATTTACTCTTACCTCAATAGTAAGGCTGATCAGTCCAACACAGTCAAAATGGCAGCCAATGTCCCAAATGAGCTCAAGTTCATTGTTAACTGGAGCAAAAGATGACTTGTTAATTTTAATGCCTCCAAAATTAAAATTCTGAACATGAATCACCTGAGAGGCTCCTCACTGATCTAACCTATAGGAAGGTGACTCATTGTGCCTTCTCGGGCTCATGTTCTCAGCTGACATGAAGTAGAAAAACTATATTGAATCCATTGTTAGTCAGCTGCTATGAAAGTGTTATGCAAGACAATTTTACTCTCCAGAATCTATCTAAAATATCTATGTCTACCAGTCATCTATGCTTAGATTATTGCTGCCACATATATTCCAGTGCATCTGCTATTTACCTTCAGCATCTTGATAAAATCCAAAGAAGAATTCTATGCTAATAATTTCTTTCCTCACACTTCTCACTTGTGGAACACCCTTCTGGCTCCATGCTTTCCAGCCAACTTTAATCTGCAAAAATTTAAATGCAATGTCTACTGTCCTCCTGATTACTCTTTCTGCTCATTATTAATGTTTCTGCCCCTAATCCTTACACACCTTGTGATCCCTTGTGTTTTAGTAGCTTTACTGCCTTGCATGGGTATGCTATATTTATGGGTTAAAGTGCTCATTATAATGGATAGAGCATATATAAATATAAAAGTGAACATTGAAGTCAATACCCAGAAGCAACAGTCTGTTTCATACTAAACACAATCATCAGGACTGAGGATTGCATTTAGCATGAAACAGACTGTCACCTCTGGATGTTGACTTCAATGTCCACTTTTATTTTTATATATATATATATATATATATATATATATATATAGTGAACACTACCGTCATATTCAACCTATGAGGGTCAAGCAGTTCAGTTCCTAGGAACCGATAGCCAGACACTAGCACCTATGATTTGATTATAGTGGTGAAGGCTTTGTACAGAACCAACCACATTTTTTGAAGTGCTGAATATAGAGACCTGATGCACCACATGCCACAAGGTCTCCAAAAAGCCCTCTGCAGGTTTTGAATTCAGAGTTGTCCTTCTCCTAGACCAGTTGCCATCCAAGGCTATCGAACCCAGTCTGTCCTGTTATTTATCCATAGCTGGATGGAGAAGAAGAGGATTAATATCTATAAGGGCATGAGCAGTTGGATATAAATAGAGAGAAGGGCTAATAGTGGGTATATGTATGAAAATATGGAGAAACTCCTAAATGTTTTTTTTTTATTCTGAGAAAGTAATTTTTTTTTAAATCATTTCACCCTAAGCAATAAAGCCACTAAAATGCAAAAGATCACTGAGCATGAAAAAAATCTGAGAGAAACACTTTATTAAGGATAGAGGACAATAAAAGAACAGGAATTAAGGATACAAGATGAAATTTGACATATTTAAATTCTTGAAGATCAAAGTTGAATTTAAAGCAAGATGCCAGAAAAGATTTCCACAAGCAAGAAGTGTGAGAGCAGAAACTTTTAGCATAGAACATATGCTTTCATCTAGCCATTTAAACTGTAAAATGATGAGACATATCTGCTAATCTAGTGCTGCACTTAAATTTACAAAGTTACCAAAAAGGAAAGCTCATCAGAACAATTACAATGAAAATATTTATAGAAAAGGCAGAAGCTACTTCTTGAGATTTATCATCATTTTATTGATGGAGTTATTATTATTTATAGATGTGGAGGAAGATGATTTGTGGGGGGGGGAATACAACACACGTCAATTACAGTGTTAGATCAAAAATATTAAAAATGCAGGCACACAGTTTTAAATTTAAATTCTGACATCTGCTGTATCCCAAATTTTAACTTACGCATTCACATTCAATTTTTTATCATCAAGTAAAGCTTTAATCCACTATGCTATTGTCTCCCAGGAAAATAACCTAGTGGATTAAAGATTAGATTAGTCTTGAATCATTAGAAGATTAAAATGTTAGCTTGTGAATTTAATGATATACTAAGATCAATCATGGGGCTGGGTAATGTGGCTTAGACTTAGTGGATACACAAAGAGCAATAACTGGGTAGTTTGAAATTGTTTTTTTTTAATGTCTTATCAAGCGTTTGTGTGTTATTTAAAGCCCAAGCACATTTTTTGGATTGTAAGAAGAAGAATTTTTTTTTTGCAAGTGAATATTGCATTAAAATTTTTTTAGAGGTAACAATGACTTTTTTCTAGATACAAGTCCTACCATTTAACCCATAAGTGGAGGGAGAAGAGATGGATTTATACATCTCCCAAAATGAATGAAATGAATTCATCTAAAATTTGAACTTGGCTCTGCTATTTCTCCTTCCAAGTTGCTGCAAGGATGCAAAAAGCAATTATCTCCTTTGGTTAAGATGAAGTCAGATGACAGCCACTTACTGACATCTGTGCATAGAGTGACAAAAGTAGACAGTTGTTTAGTTAGCCGTCTGGAGTCAATATGAGTGGTCAGTTATTCATAAGCACAGGTGCAACAAGACCTCTGCCTGAACCCAAGTTCATTGTGCCATTTCCCAGTTGGGAAAAATATATCCTCACCAGAGACATATAAAAACTATCTCTGGCTTGCAGTCATCTCAGGAAATACCTATTGTTTTCCCATTGGGAGGTATGTCCCCACCAGAGACATACAAGATAAATCTGGACTACTCAAATTCCCACAGGAAAATATAAATATCACTTCTCCAGGAACAGAGAATACTCTTGCAGCTTAAATTCCTGTTGGGAACTATTACAAATAAGACACATAATTTACATTTTCACACTGCTTATTGTTGTATACATAACTTATAGTTTATGTGTGAGACAAGTACTTGTATATAATTTTGTGTTTGACTTAAAAGTATAAAAATCTCTAAGAACAAAGCTTGCTTGTTTGTCCTTTTTCTTTCAGCTATTCTGTCCTGTCTGTGCATTATCATGTTGTTATATCATGCATATGATAATGTTAATAGTGGGGGAAAGGAAATAGGATATATTCTTTTCTTCCATAGCACACACATTAACCGGTATACCTGATGTGATATTAAGGGACCATTACTTCTTGAATAGAACCGCTAACCCTGCTATACATTACAGCACCCACATATCCTTACTAAATAAAAACAAGGCAATATATCCCCAGTCATAGACAACAGACTAAGAACAGTCTACCCCTGTAGATTAAATAAAGGGTTCTATTCAAAATTTCCAGAAGGTTACCTGGATTGACAGACACCTGAAGAAGGCCAGAGGGCACAACAGCTGAAACTTTGTGATAATCACCCTAGGACATTAGTCTGAATGTAAAGAAAGATAACTCCTCATTGCAGAAATTGTTATGGACATAATTGTGTTCAGAAAGCACCCAGCTATTTTGAACTACTCGAGAAATGTTTGTGTCCCTTTTTGGTATAACAATCAAATGGGATTACTCAGTTGGCATTTAAAAATTATGGTAAATTGAGGAACTCTAATTTCGTTTTGTAAAATTCCTTAATTGAATTCTTGATGAGAGATTGAAACACATCCCTAATCAATTTTTTACTGCTATGTACATAATGATATTTAATTTTTTTTTCTAAGAAACAAACATCCAGATATTTATATCAGGAATTTTTTTTTAAATTATCTAAGCAACTTACCCAGTATTCCAATTTTCATTGGATTCTTTTTTCCTTTCTTTTTTTTCAAAAATTTAAGGAATTCAAGACGTTTCCAAATCTTCTTCTCGGCTCCTTCACGGATGGCACAAGTCATAACCAAAACAACATTACTCTAATAAAATATAAAAAAACACAAGAAATTATGAAAAAAAGTAAGAATGCTGATTTTATCACAATAATATGTAATGATATATATCATAATGGATTTTATATATATTAACATTTGCACTGAAAATTGGAATGGCCCATATATCACTAACCAAACAACCAACATGAAAGAATTCTTTTATGACACTAAGCCACATAATATCTAACAATTTCTTAAATCAAATTGTATTCCAAAATATAACTTCAATAAAACTACAGCATAAAACACATATCATTGCTTCTAGTAATCATGTCCACACAAACATGTATATGCATAAAAACTGAATATCATCTACCACGTATTCAATTGTGAAAGCAGAATAACATATTTTTATTACTTCAAAGCTCCTAAGAAAATTAAATTTCAGCAATAAATGACCCATAAGAAATTGATATGCAGTTAAACAAACAAATCAATCATTTGAATAACAAATATGGCAGACAAATTCACTGGAATGATCAAAATATGGCAAGAAATAAAGAAAAAGGAATAGAAACAATTCTAAGATTCTGTCATGACTCATCACTTTTGCTTGTGAGAGGAAATCTGGAAATGTACCAAGAATGAAAAAAATTAAATAGTTTGCATCTTTGTGAGATGTTTGAATTTTAAGTTTTTAATGTTTATCATGTCATGTGGATTTGACATTTTTGAGTGTTAAAAGTTTGCCGTGATGCATGAACAAAGTTTCATTTCAGTTTTTCTCTGGAAGAGATCAGAACAAGAGAAACTGGAAAATCAATGTTGTTCTTTGATATAAAATACTTTTCTTTTTTCTTTAATTAATCGATATTAGTCTAGATCTAGATCTAGAATAAAACTAGATCTAGAATAAAACTCAAGAAAAAAATCTTGATTTAACACATTCACATTGCACAAAGATTGGTGGGATTTTCTGATGTCAAAAAAGGCTGTGAACATTTTTAAGTAGATAAATGAATGACAAAATTAAAAAAACTAAGTGATGTTTTGTTTGGAAAAGGAACTTCTTCAGGCAATGATTTTTATCAATAGAGTCAGAAAATTTTCATTTAGCACACACACACACACACACACATTTGTACAAAATAAAATGACATAAGATGGAATCACCATTTCAAGAAATCCAGTCATACGAGAAAAAAGCAAAACAAAACATAAACAACCAACCATGTTACCAGAAAACAAAAAATGTGTCTTTTCATAAAAGTGCTCAACATTATAAGATCCACAAGTCTTTAGTACAAGTGTTATAATATAACAGTGCTCAAGTGAGCCATGACTATAGGATTCCTGGTATGGTTTGTATATATAAGCCTCATGTGTTTATGTAAATCACCAGTAGTATTTTTGATCAACCTAGGGGGAATATATTCATCAATGGAACCAGAAGAAACCTTTGTCAGCAACCCAATGATTATACACAGGATGTGTAGGAAACTATAGTCATGGATAATGATTGGCTTAATATCATTTTTTCATTAATATATATATATATATATGTATATATATATATATATATATTATAATTTTTTTCATATAGACAAAAACATTTACTCACTACAAAGATGCAACTTCGTTTCGGTGCATTTCAATTACACCTCGATATGAACAATTCTGCTTGTAAGCAGGATGTATGTGAAATGTCACTTCCTTTTTTCCATTTGTTTGAGAAAAAAAATATACATAAAGCAAAAAGGTGACAGAGTGAACAGTAGTGCTTTTTGATAGCAGTTTGGTGAAGGATGGGTGAGATGTTAAACTGGTGGTTAGACTGGAGAAATTCCTTGTCAATAATAGCGATCAAAAGCTTAGGTACAGCATTTCCAAGCTTTCTAAGAGTGAGGGGTTGAAGAGGAAAGTTGGGAATAGAAGATAGTAATACAATGAAAGGGGTAGGAGGGATAAATTCATTAATTTGGAAATTCTTGCAAAAATTAAATAATTATTGGATTTTAATGAATTGTTCAGAACTATTTAAAAAATGAATGAAATTATTTTAGAAATGTTTGTTTTTTAGATCTGTTATCCCACTTTACTTAATTTTATGAAAAACTTGAAATCCCAAACTGTAAGTCTTTGTATTTGTTTTTATTAAATGCAGATGACTTTAAAGTATAAAAATTGATTTTTTTGTTAATCGATTAACTGTTCTACCCAAAGTTTAGCCATGAATTGTCAAATATAAAACCTAATAAAACTAAGACATTATTTAATTAAAAAAAGCTTCTAATGGCTTTTCTGAATAATACATATTAAGGACATTTTTATTTGAAGCCAAAATATTTTTTCAATGAAAAATGAATTTTTAATTAATTGTTTTTAATTTTAAAAATGTGGTAGAATTGTTAAGTATTTTAAAATGAAATTTGAAGCCATGTGTCTCAGAAAATGCTCTTATTAAAAGACCTACCTTTTACAGATCTTAAATTTGAAAGCTTATTACAATCTGCAAAACTGTATTTTTACAATAATTTTTTAATATATGAAAAAATGTATTAAAAATGCTCCCGGTGAAGCATGATTCTGAAACAATGTTACGTGTGCTTGAGTTGTTTCTCCTGATAGCATATCAAATTCTCTGACTGATCAATCATCAATGTCATATTTTCAAAAGTTATTTTTTTTTTTTTTTACATATTACACTAAATATTTTCTTTTCAATTTTTAAATATAATTTGTTTCTTTTTCAGTGAAAGATATATTGCAATTATTAATTTTTCTTTTTTAGATTCAATTTTAGGGACTGAAACAGTACAGGCTTTAGACATATCTTTGTTAAAAAAAGTACCTAAAAGATATCAATAAATACTAGACGTTTGAAAGTATTTAATTTTTAAGAATTATAGTTAAACAACCTGGTTCACTCAATTAATTAAAAATACTGTCACTTCTACACGTCTGTCCGATAAATTGTCCTAAGGTTAGTTGTTGATATATTGATGTAAACATCAATTCACCACTGTTAGACATGCTTCTCTTATTTCCAACTAAATTTTTTCTACTAAAAAGTTAAGTAATGTTTGTTTCAAATTACAGTAAGTATATTTTAAATTTTAGAATTTTCCTAAAATAACTTTTGAAAAAAGTATAATTGAATTTTACAAAATTTTTAAACAGAGAAATTCACTTATGTTTAAAAAAAACTGTCAATAATAGCTGACATGATTAATTTTATGTCAATTTTGATGACTCAAAAAGAACAAGAGTTTTACCTAAAATTTCAGACATGCTAGAAAGAATTAAAAAAAATTAAAAAAATACTCAAAAAATATTTTGGCCTTTCTTCTTAATAATAACAAACATTTAGATTGATAAAAAAATTGTTTAATTAACATATATATATATATATATATATATATATATTGGCAAAATGACATTATTGATGCATGTGTTATTAAAATCTATGGAACTTTTCCATTTAATAATCTTTTTTCTGTTTTTTCTTGCAAGTTTTTTATATTTGGGTCTAAGTTGCTGAAAAAAGACGTGTCCAGTTGTCATTAACTGTCATTATGGATGTTATGTTTCAGTTTGAAGTAGGTTGTTTATTTTTTTTATTTTTATAGACAATATAAACTCTCTCAGATCGGCTTACATAGCATCTTAATGACATCTTCACCATAAAAAACACCTTGTAACAACACACTGTACCACTAGTAACAGATTCAAATCCTCAGAAATAAGAAAAATCCTAATCAACAATACTAAAATCTTCTATAAAAACAAAAAAAAAACGATTACAAATTCTTGAAGCCATCATAATTAAAAAACAAAAACACAGCATAAATAAAATAGCATTTAATACTGACAGAAACATCTTAAATATATTTAATAACTCATCCTCTAAATAATAAATTCCACCAACCTCCCAATTGCGAATGAACTAATCTAATAACCAAGCCTAAACACCCAAAATATTATCTATAAAAATGAAATATTAAACAACTGAAACAGGATGACGGTCAATGACAACCAAAAGCGCTTGTCAAGATACCAAGGACTAGGGCCTTCTTTCAGCAACTTAGACCCAAATATAAAAAACTTGCAAGAAAACAACAAAAAAAAAAAAAACAGAAAAAAATTATTTAAATGGAAAAGTTCCATAGTCTTTAACAACACATGCCTCAATAATGACATGCTGCCAATATATATATATATATATATATATATATATATATATATATATATATATATATATATATATATATATATATGGTATAATTTAGCCTAATATAGGGGCTGGCAAAAATACATACACACACAGAATATATTCGTGTACCATGATAATTTTGAAGATAATTTAAGAGCATCATACATGAGATATAAAATTAGTGTATGTACAGCTGGCCTTGGCCATGCCATTGACCAAACTGTATATACATTTACCATAGTCAAAAAATTAGCTTCAAATTAGGTCTTCAAAAGTTGCATGATATGCAAATATATATATATATATATATACACACACACACACACACACAGGGTGCACTGGGTTTGTTTATGACTACACATGCATATAAACAAAAGAGTTTCAAAATTTAGAAAGAATTTTTTTCAGTCTAGCTAAATTCATCTAGATTCTTTTTTTGTTGTTTCTATCACTTTTGTTATTAAATAACCCACATTGTGGTAACAGAAAATCTGTCAAGAATGGTGTAACATAAGAACCTGGACATAAATTTACTGTGAATGAACTAGTGATTAAAGCACTTTATAGACATTTTTGTCTTAGTGAATTATTTTCTCTTTAATTAGAGTAGCATTTTTTATGTCAAAATTTGGGTATTCTAAGATGATATTCTATTAGTCTATATAATGCTTTATTATAATTTTTTAATCAGTTTCCTAATTGTTTTGTTATGTGTCAGTATTTTTTTATTAGTAAATTGATTTAGTCATTATATTAGTTCTTATTCATTATGACAATCCCACCTCCTTTGTCCGTAGTTTTCCTTATTTTTTGTTAGGTTCTTTAGTGTACGTAAGTGTTACTGTCATAATTGTTGCTAGTTTCTACGGTAGCAGTGATTATTCCTGGAATGAAGCCTTAGGTGAAATCTGTGTCATTTTGTCTATGCTGTTTTATTATTGTGTCAATTCAAAAAGGTGATCTAATTGAATTTCCAACCCTCAGTATTTACATGAAGAAAAGAAATATATTGAAAATACTTTCAAGACTCTTCAGTACTCTAAGTATTTTATATTCAATGTGAAACAAAAGGTTCATAAAATATTCCAAAATAGAAAAGTGGCCCCTCCCGACAAATCTAATGAATCAAAAAAATATATTGTTGTACCCACTAACTTTATCACAACTACAATTGAAAAGAATTTATCTAAACTCAACATAAAATTTTTCACATCTACACCTAAAACAATAAAAGACTTAATAGAAAATAAAACAAGCCAAAATTTGATGGAGGAATTTATTTTTATTAACTGCAAGGATTGCTGGAAAGAATATATTGGAGAAACCTCAAGAAAAGAATGTAGATGAATTTGGCTAGATTGAAAAAAAATTTTTTTTTCTAAATTTGAAACTCCCAGTGTCTCTTGGTTGTGTGCATGTGTAGTCACAGCAACATAAAAAAACCCAGTCTGATGAAGTCCTATGAAACATGTCACAAAAACATTTTCCCATTTGTCATACATCTTTTCTTTCAAAACAGCTCTTGATATATAAGCCTTTTATATATATATATATATATATATATATATATATATATATATATATATATATATATATGTATACACACACACACACACAGGGAGATATCACACCTGAAATAATAATAATGATAATAAAGGAGGATATGCTGTAAAACAAAAAACATCAAGTAAAAGAGAGGCATTTTTAAATAACCATGATGCTAATATGCTGTAAAGACTTTAAAATGTAAATGTTACAGAAAGTTAATTTAGAACACGAAATACAATCTTTTTGTAAGTGCACAAAGAAGATATCAAATTATTAATAGAAAATTACTGGAACAATAATAATTTGGAACTTTTAAAAAAAGAAGTGGATTTTGACACTATAAGAATTGAAGTTAAAATTAAGTATGTTTTGATCTAGAATTTATTTTTAAAACATGAACCTCTGTAGTTTACAAAGAATGGCAGAATAATTAATAGTGAGGTGATAAGCAATAGTGTCTGGTTGTTTAATGAAAAAGTAAATTGTTTATTCTTGGTGGAGTGAAGTTGTATTTTGGTAGTATGTCAGTATTTGCACACTAGAAAAACAGATACGTCACCAGTCTGGGATATGGGTTCATCTGTCTTTGAATGCAGTTGAACTGAGTGGAGAGATGTCAGAGATTGAAAAGGAAGCGTCTGCTGTGTGTTGCTGAAGCTGAGGGGGAAGAAGCTACTTCTACTACTACTATTACTACTACTGAGAATGGGGGACATCGAAGGTTGTAGTAGTTGAGCTAAAAGCAGACCAAAAAGGGTTAAAATGAAGGCCACATCACTCCTTTACTGAAATTATTCAAAGTATTTGTGTTTGTTTGGTTATTGTTTACATACAAGAAATATTCAACCTTGTACAACAAGAATTATTTTTTTGTGTGTTGCTTTTAAATAAAAAAAAAACAAAAACTTTTGTCCTTTCAAAATTGAGTTAGTTGGTCATATTTATTTTTCTGTTAACCCGATTCTCACCCAATGAATTCACAGGTGGTCCAACAGAAAGATTGGGAACCGGAGACTTGTGTCTAACCTGTAATACCAGACCAATGGCTGGTCTTGTGGAGTTCAGTGGGGTGAGGATACAGTGTTATATACATAAATATATATTCATACATGTTTCAGTATTTACATTAGTCGGACTATTGTCCTCATCTTTGTTGCCATATTTGTCACAACGTTTCGGCCGTTGTACGCTCCGGCCTTCTTCAGGCGGTTGGAATTTCGAACTGAACCCATTATTTCGATCACTGGGGTAGACTGTTCTAGTTCCACGTGCCATGTTTGATGGATGTCAGTTATTAGTTATCTCCTGCTAATTTTCCCTCTGAAAGTTCTCCACTGCCTTAACCAGGAACGTCTGATAAGCTTAATAACATTATCATTAAATGAACAATCTGGCCGCATAACAATTCTGTAAAATCCTTGTTGAAAACACAATTATACTTAAACATGAAAACAATAAACAAAAACCAAAAATTCTTGAAGCTATATACATAAAACAGTTGAAACCTAACCTCAACAAAATAAACTTTGAAATCTCCATAAATATTCTTAAATATCTATAATTAGTAACAGAAGCCATTGGTTTATACTAACGGCTTTCCATGCTTAATACTTCTTGAATTCACTCTTGCGTGGTCATGTGTGACATTATGAGCTGCGGTGCGATTTTCGCTCCCAGTGTCTTATATGCACGTGTTTATCATTGCTTGGAAATCATCCATTTAAACAAAAACAAGCTATCATAACATACTTGCCCGTGTATTGCTTAATATATTGTACAGTAATTGTCATCTTTAATAATTGCTTATGTAAGCCGAAAGCTTAGATTGGATTAAAAATATGTATCAATATTGTGATTTTCTTTCTTCGTTTAATGATAATGTTATTAAGCTTATCAGACATTATGAAAAGAATTTACATAAAATAAATAGACAATACTTGTCTATATTATTTAATGAAACATGTATGAATGAAAAAATGCTGCCTAAATACACACACACACAATATATATATATATATATATATATATATATATATATATATATACACTAGTTTAAAAGCTGCCCTATCAGGACACATTTAAGCACATTATTAGATTGGCGGCAAGATCTCAGCCTTTTACAGTTTTTATAGCTGTAACCATAACTTCTATGCTAACAGTCTCTTCTATCATACTTCTTACTTGTGGAACTCTCTTCCAACCTCTTGATCTCCAGTCAACTTTGATCTTCCAAAATTTAAATGCAATGTTAACAGTCATCTTCTGTCTTCTTAATTCCTGTTTTTTTATTATTCTCTCTTCTTGATAGTAGTTTTTCTCTTATTCTCTGATACTCATTAACCCCACCCATCACACTGTGTCTTAGTGGCTTTGTTTTCTTGCTTGGGGTGAAAAGAAAAGAAAAAAGATTCTATAAATAATTTGTAATTGGAATATCTACTCACTTCTTGTATGACCATCGTTCTTTCAAATCCATTTTTCTTCAAAATGGCCCAAACAATTTCAGTATCACTGACATTCATTTGGCAGCCATAAGTTTCAAAATAAACTGTAAACAAAAACATTGCCAGATTGTAAGAAAACATTCAACACTCAAAAATGTCATTTTTGCTTGAATTTCTAGTTATTTAAATTTGAAGTATTGTTCTAATCTTTGTTGTAATTATCACAGCATTTTGGCTGTTATGCCCCCAACCTTCATCAGATGCTTGTTGATTCATGTAACCATCACGGAATTTCAAATTGGACCTTTTATTTAATCTACAAGTTAGATTGTTCTTACTCTGCTACTTATGTTCAGAGATATCTTGTATATCAGAATTTATTTTTTTTATTCTTGGTCGGACTGAGAACTTAACAGTTTCTTGTATTTCTTTTAGTGCGAATGCATTTTTGTGTGTTATTAATGTGCACGTGTATGTGTACATACATGTGTGTGTGTGTGTGTGTGTGTGTGTAATCAGGCATTCATTTTCTTATCCATGTGTCTTTTATAATTTGTCATAGAAACAGTATTTATTCCTGTCAAAAATAATCCTGCTTTAGACATTGTGTCCTCTGGCCTTCATCAGGTGTATTAATTCAGGTAACCTACAGGGAATTCCAAACTAAACCCTTTATTTAATCTATGGGGTAGACTTTTCTTGTTCCATAGTCCATGTCGAGTGATATCTCATCTAGTTCTTATTTTTAATGAAGTATAACTGAGCAGTACCAAAAATAAGAAGTAGATGAGATATCTATAAACTTGGGAAATGGAACAAGAGCAGTCAATCCTATAGATTAACTAAACAGTTCAATTCACAATTCCCTATAGGCTACCCTGATTGACATACACCTGATGAAGGCCAGAGCATATAATGTCCAATACATTGTGATAACATCAATGATGAGGAAAATAGTCTGAATGTAAATAGTATAATAAAATACTCAAAAATGTTTACTACCTTGCAATCTATGATATAAGGCCTCCCACACTACAGCATCTCAATTTTCATGAGGTGATATTCATGTAAAATACAAATTATATTGTAGCCTAATTATGTACAATAATAGGTCATATACAATATAGGTGAACAATTCAACTAGAAAAATTGTAAATAATTACAATGTATCTAGATACAAATAAGAGACATGTTATAATAGATCATTCCATCTTAAATAAATCAACAATGTTTTGCAACAATATTTAACATCGACTTGAGATTTTTCTTCTTAAAATGTTAAATAATTGTAACACATTCAACATTATGGATAAAAATAGTGAATTTTATGTAGTGTTTGTTTCAGACAAACAAATAAATGATTAATAAATAAGTGTAGATGAAAAATAAATAAATATTATAATAGACTGCTTGTTTGTTACATTTAGCTTTAAGAGAAGAGTTTTTAAAAAAAAAATGATTCAACGAAAGCTAGACAGTTAATAAAAAATAAACTTGCTGTGAAACATTTGCTCATTAAATTTTCTAAAAATAGAATGTCTTGATAAGAACCTACCAAATGTAATTTGGTCAAAGACAGACGGTTTGTGTTTTAACTTTCAAAATTAGAAGATATACACCTTTGTATTTTTTGGCCAATCAGAAGGGTGCCTTCCATCCATACAAATTTAGAAGATACACACCTTTGTATTTTTTGGCCAATCAGAAGGGTGCCTTCCATTCACGCAAATTTAAAAGTTGAGGTCACCTGGAGCCTATTTGAAGGCTAGATAAGTTAGCAGAAAATTTTAGAAGACACAAAAATTTCAGTAGGAAAGTGACAAAAAAGGTACAGAAGGTTACAAGTATAAGGATATCAGAAGGAAAAGCTATTTTGGCTGTCATTTGTTTCTTTCTATATACATCTGTTATATTTTCGTAAAAAAAAGAAAGAAAGAATAAAAAAAGGAAACTAGCTTTCTTGTCCACGTGACTTTTCACACATTCCCATTCTTCTTTAAAAGCTGCGTTCTTCTTCCTTTTCAGTTTTCATTCTAAATTCTTTCCTTTGTTGATTACTGACTGCTGTGAATTAAGTTCAGTAAAGCCTTAAGAAAAGGTTATTCTATCCTAGCTTTCTTCTCTGTACTACGTAACAACATCTTATTCTAAAAATGTTCTCACTTCTCCCACTGCCCTCCCTCATTGTTTTAGTAACCTTCTTGGAATTTTGAAACAAATATTATGTTTAATCCATGGAGGTAGGTTATGCCCATTCTGCTTTTCAATATTAAAGTATATTTTTATATCAGTTCATACTTTCCAGTTTTAATCATCTTTGTATCACTTATGTGACTTTCCAACACTAACAGATCAAAGGATTGAACTCACAATTATCAGGGAACAAAATATGTTTTTATTTAACAAATCTACTTGCCCATGTGTCTCTTGGACAATCCAAACACTTTAAGAAAACCGTAGAGTACAATGACTGAAACATAGGGAGTATGTAGTGAGTGTGAAATAATAATAACTCTTTTTACCCACCCTCTTCAAATTTGGAGGACTGAAGAAAAAGACAGAAAGGAATTCGCAAAACTATGTGAAATTGTTTTTGAACCAATGAAAACCTTGCCGCCACAGAAATTAGCCATTGAGCCAAGAAGAAGAAAAGAAAGTAGCAAGACTATGTGAAATTCCTTTTTATGATACAATGTGGAGAAAAATTAATACGAGAAAAGTGTCTGAACTGAAGTCATGTGAACGATTTCGTTTCAGTTCCTCGTGAGCAGCGTTGAACTTGCTAGTGAAAATTATTTGCCAATTATTATCAGCTATATTACAAAGCACTTTAAAGAATTTTCTCTCAACTATCCAAGAAAGCTAAGTATTTCAAACTATATCTTTCCGTCTACTTTTCAACGGGTAAACCATATTCCTGCTTTGAGCAACGAAATCGCTTACCTTTGTTTTAAACATTTTTTAACACTGTGACATCTGTTGGATGAACATTTCCTCTTCAGAACAATACGTTAAAACTACGGACTTGAAAATTCCTGATATATTTTCCTGAAACAACTGACATAACTTCAAGCGTATAAATTCGTAAATAAATTCCATATCATATTTTCTTAAAATTACCCGTGCGTTTCCTCGTTATGACCCTCCAATCCATTAATTTTCTTGGCGTGGGTAAATCAACTGTTCTAAGTATATCAACAAAGATAAGGAATGTTATTTCTCTTGATTTTGCATTAAACACCGTAAACAATGGAAATTTTTTTAAAAAGTTTACCAAGAGTAGCCTCCTAATCTGTCTTTATCGACATTTAAATGACAGATCGTCGAAAACCACGACGAAGACAAGCACACACACGCAGATATTTTTTTTAAATGTCACTGTATGCCAGAATGTAAATAAATCTCTCTTCAAAGAGAAAAATATTATTTTTCCATAACTTTTCATCGATGACAATATTTTAAAAAGCTGCTTGATTTAATTTAATTAAATCCGTTTACTTTTTAGCGCTTCTTTAGTGTAGTAGTTATATTTTCCCATGATTGCCATATCATTCCAAAATTTATTCAGAACATTAGTCATATAAATTGTGGCGTTGATATTAATTTATGAAAATAAACTTGAAATAAAGAAAAGAAATGAAAAACTCAAACATTCCGAATAATTTAACAAAGACTGACCTTTACGTTTTTGACCTTCGTACACAGATTGGGGAAGGTACGGAATTGTATCCACTGTTTCATCTATTCCGGTTTCTACGTGTCCGCTATCAATATTAATTCTTAATGACAAAAAATCCACCATGGATGGTCCCTGCGAAAGCTTTTGTCTAAAATTTAATAATGTTTCATTTACTTGTACCTCTTTGGGGCCATTTCTTGAAGTGAGATTGTCAGTTTTCAAAGATTTGTTGTTATTCGTTTGGCGAGACGACAAACAAAATGTCCTTTTTTGCTTTCCACATCGCTGCGAATCGCTATTATAAAGGGAGTGTACATTAAATAGGCATAAAAAAGGCTGTTTCTCCTTGAAACATTGACAATAAACGTTTTTTCTCAAAAACACACTTCTGTACATATTAATTCTTATGGAGACGGTAGCCATGATAATATAAAACGGTGTAAACGTATATTTTGTATACCGCATAAAAAAAACTGTTCAGCTTATTCTGGCGTATGTCAAACTCAAAACTAAAGCTTTCTATTGCAATACAAAAAAAAATGTAACAAACAAAAAACAATTTATTGGCTATTAGTTTTAAATATTATTCCCTAAAATTGTTTAAATAATAAAAAAATCAAATCTCTCTGTCATTTTCCGAAGTGCCGTGAGCTACGATTGTTTACTTTTTTTTAAACAGACTGTCGCCTCTGGGTGTTGACTTCAATGTCCACTTTTATATTTACATACGCTCTAGTCCTGATATTGAGCATTGCCATTAACTCATAGTGTTGGGGAAGGATCACCGTTTGAATAAAAAGAAATGAAAGAAAAGATTGTTGCGTGTTCAAATAAAATGATAAACGAAGGATACAAATTTTAAATGTAATTACTTGACTGAATTGTGTTGCGGAGTCATTAGTTTGTTTAAATATCAGAAGGTATTTAAATTTGCTTGCATGGCAAAATATAGACAAACATATTTTCAATAAAGCATTTACAATTTGAATGGTGAAATTATTCAGGGAATTTATACTGAGTTTGAAAAGTTTAATATTGGTGTACATAAACCAAATAATGTTTTTAATGGCAAATAAAGTGCCTTTGCTTGGTATGTTAAAGGTGTATGCCAATAAAGTATGATTTGTAATGGATATATAAGTTTGGATTAAACAAACTGTTTTTAAAATAAATCAATTTTTTATTTAAGAATTTTTATATTTAGAATTAGGTAGGAGTTGTCTACCTTGGTCTGTTAGTTTGAATTGCTTAAGGCTTAAAAAAGGTAAAGTTTAAAGTACTTTAAAAGTTAAAAATTACTTAACGAAAGAAGAAAGTGTTGTTCTTCAACAAAAAGTTTGTCTTAGAAAAATCTTGAATATTTGTTGAGTGAGAGAATGCTTGAAAGTAAGTTGAACATCAAAAGTTGATTCGTGTTTAAAAGAAATTTTTAAACGTACACTTCGGAGTTGATTTTTTTAGAGTTTATATTAAACTATACAGAATTCCTTGCTGAGCAATCTGTTGAATAAAAAAATGTGCTGAGGGTGAGTTTTGAAGTTTCAAGCTTAAAGTAGCAGGATAAGTTATTAATATTTATTGTATAAAATACAATTATGGCACAAGACCGAAAAGGAGGAATGGGGTGAGGCTGGTCTTCACTGACTCTCTTAGTCTTATACCTAGCTAATCCAATTCTAATTCACGACCCATTCACTCATTACAATTCGATCATTCATCATAAGAACTCATTCGTCACCAATCAATCCTCCATATACCATAATACCGCATACGCTCTTTCTTTTCTTTTTATGTGTCATGTCTTTTCACCTCCCTTTATCCTTTGCAACTCTGAAGTTCCTTCTTTCTGCTTCCTCCCCCAGACCACGTTTTGGCATCCACATGTCACGTGTTGTTTTCCCTTGTCTCTCTTTCCATCTATTCGACCCGTGAGTATCATATTCTCCAGGCCCTCCTTCCTTATATGTCCCAGAAACTTCAACTGCCTTTTCCTGATATTAAGCCTCCTCCTTGTTTGCAACCTTTCTAAGTTGCTCACACGCTCGGTCCATGATATCCTTAACATCCTTCTGTAGAACCACATCTCTGTCGCCTCGAGTCTTTTCTTTTCGCTGTTTTTTTTTTTTTTTTGTTTTTTTCGGTGTGAAAGACAAGACGCCGAGGTTGCCTCGTGTCTTTTTAATGCTGTCAGTCTTGCCGAGTTGAATGTATGTTTGGTTTTATGGTCTTGTGTAGGCTCCAGAGGCCTGTTTTTATTTACTGGCAGGAGCTGATTTTATTGGCTATTTATTTTTATTAAACTGAAAATTTGAAGTATGTTTGGAACCCAGAAGGCTGCGCGTAGCCCTGTGGAATAACACAGTAATTCCACCTACATTTTACGCGCGCGCGAGTTTTCCTCCCTTCCTACCACACTTGTGCGTGTGTGCGCGCGGTTTGCACCCCTTCCTCTCTTGTTCAATTAGACATAGGAGTATCCATCCTTTTGTTGTCGATTTCGACCTTGCTGGCTACTCCTGATAGCTGTCTAGGACGGATTTTGAATTTCTTCCCGCGCGTTTCTTGACGTCACAGACGCCCAGCGTTACCAACTCAGTTGCTTCCCGATTTTCAAGCTGGACGGACAACTCATTTATTCCGTGCCCTTAACCCATACGCGGGCCGGAATATCTTATTACTAGCTACCAAAATTTCAACATGTCGACCTTACACTTTCCCAAGACTCATTCTCGTCTTCTCCGTTTTCAACTAGAAAACGTAGAGATCCACGACACAGTCGTCAGTATATATTTTTCCAGGACAACTTGTCTTGATGCGAACAACTTTCGAACATTCTAACTACTTTGAACCAGTACCTAAAAAAAAATATTACATACATTCACACTATCAAACTACACAGTGAATACTTTTCCTATATGTGTACACATACACCTTTCGTTAACAAGTCATTTTTCCAGAACTTTCTTTCTGATGACACTTTTTCCCGCCTTGGCCATCTTGGTTTTCTGTTTTGGCGCGGAACAATTTTACTAATGGTCTCAACTGTCAGGACAATTACTTGTTTAAATATAATAAAATTTCATATATGTTTTTCAACCAGACGCCTTTTGTCGTTTAATTCCAGGCTATCTGCACGTATTATTATTTATGCACTTGTTGAATGACCCCTTTTCCTCACTAAGTTCACTCACGCAATATATTGCTACTTTGTTTGTGAATTCGGTAGTTTTGTGTAGTGTCTGGCACAAGGCCACCTTTTAATAAACCAGCACTGCACGCTACCGGGTCCGCAACAGCCCTTGCGAGGTGTGTTTAAATTTTGTCATTTGGTCCTTTGATTTGATGTTGTTCACTTCCGCCTGCTCTACAATAACATAGTTTAAAACTATCACTTCGATAGCACGACTCGGAGCTTCAAGCAGTTAAACCCTGAGGAAGAAATAATTTAAACAGTGGCGTGCAGAGGTCTGTTAGCGACCGGGACGAGGATTATGAAAAAAAAAACAAAAAAAAACAAAAAAAAAAAACAAAGCAAAAAGCAATTGTATACATTGAATTAAAGTTAGATTCTCAACACTTTAAAAAGTAAATTAGAATTTTATTCTAGGAATAGAAATACAATTAAGCAAGATAAAAAAAAAATCAATTATTTTCTAAAATTTGAGCGGATACCGAGCGAAATGGGCGAGAAAATCCAACGGTCTCTGTAGTACAATTGAAAGAAAGATCTACTTTCACAAAGAAAACAATTTAAAATTTCACATTACATTAAAATATAATTTTACATATGAAACAAAGATTACTAAAATAAAAAAAAATGCCAGCAATTGATTTTTCATTTTTTTCCTAAAACACATTTTAAATTTCTTTAAAATAGAGTTAATAAAAAGAAAAAAAAATACACTTACATTTACTGATGTTAAATTTCCTTTGGTTTTTCGGTTTTTAATCTGAAAAAGGTTGACTCTACAAGAATGGAAATGTATGTTTAAATAATAACCAAGAATGTTTTTTAAGTAGTCTTTGATTGTATGGCATTCTATCTCCGCACCCACTCTTTATATCTTTTGAACTTTCTTTTCCCTACCAGTTCACAAACATGAAAAATCAAAATGAAAGCACTAACGCCAAAGTCTTGGACTTCTCACATAGGTGTGAAAAAATTTCGGTTTCACGTAATTACTTGTCGGAGTTGACACCTCCTTAGTTTCCTATCTGTTCACTAGGGCACGCTCTCCCTACACTATAAATACTGGGTGATTTCTTGCCTCGTTCTCTTTTTACTTTGCATTTCAGCGGACACATTTAAAAATGTGATCTCTCGCAGAGATCTGCGTTTTGCCCACTTGTGGGAAAACGCCATCAAACATACACATACACGTACGTACGAACATTCATCAAAATACGAACTTTTTACGTTCACGCACAAACACAAATGTTGATGTCCTTGTCCATTGTAAATTTTGTTGTTTAATACATATAATTGTAGTATATACATATCAGTCTGTGGGAATCACTTACATGTGCCACACCTCCGTTTTCTTTATTCTTATTGGATAATAAATACATGATACTTATTATAGGACAATTTAACCATCGCAGGTAATTCAAAATTTTCTCTAAAATCACGGATTGGTCCATTTCCTGACCAATCACGTATTTTAGTATCTTCTCTATATTTTCGCGCTAAGCCATCTTGAGCCTAAAGCTTGCTATATAAACTCGCGCTGTTTGCCAACACAGGCAGTAGCAGTTCAATTCTTGGAAAGCAAGGCACGGCGCTATATTGACATTTTAATTTTAATTATCTCTCAATCAAGTAATCATACTGATTCCTATTGATATCACTCATGAACATTACATTTTCTACACTGGTAAAACACTGTGGAACTATTCTTTATTTAGCTAAGACTTCAATTGAACCTTGTAGTTAAATTACAGTCAATTTTGTACTTAACATTTATTAGCTAAATTTACCCTTTTTATTACGGAAAAAGGGGAACAACTTTTTTATACTATTGTTGATATTTGTATAATATATCATTGTTAATACAATATATTATTAATGTTCATTGAGCTTGATTATTTTTTTCTCTCGTGTTTGTTGTACATTATTCATGTGGGGTGTTGTTTTACAAGAACACAGTCTTCCTTCTTTATTATATTCACGGTGACCCTAGCCAACAATACTTACAGCACCACTACAAGTCTTGTTTGTTTTCTTTTTATCTTCGGTTAGGCTCAACTTGAGTCCGCCATATTCTTTTAGTGGACCTTTTAATATTCTATCAGAAGTTACACACGTGTTCCTAATTTAACAACACGTAAACCCACGGTCCGTTACATACTCACCAAACACTAAGGGGAGGGGGGTAATTCCTGATATATTTAATGACCAGCCTGTGGCGGACTCACCACATTAATTTAACTTAGATTAGAAAACCAAAAAGAGGATAAGTCAAAGATATCATTACACATAAAATTTGTATTTAACAAGATGTACAAACAAGGATGTGAAAGAAAGACATGCACTGAGTAAAACAAGAGTTGTCTCTCTTTAACTATTAATTGTTCCAAAGTGCACTGAAAAAATAAGATTGTAATAGTTTCTGGATATAAATGTTTTCAACAGTTTTTCTGTGTAAAAAAAAAATGATTATGTGAGTATAGAGAATATCCAGCATGTGAGTGGTGGTGTGAGTGAGAAGATTGGCACATGGTTTCAACTGTCGTGGATTTGTGTGGCAGCTGAAATATCATTACTTACCTAAGAATATTCTTTGCTTATATAGGTGATCATCGGCTCCGAAACGCTGCGCAGGAAAAATCACTCTTCATTGGTTGGCACTGACCAATCAGCGAGCCAGCTTTGGGAAGACCCACGAAAACTTCTGGGATCCGATTCTCCCAAAAGTGCACGAAATTGACTACATGAAAATATAGCGATTATAAAAGTGTCGCAAAGTTGCGATTTATAAATTGTCCATTACACAGTTGTAATGATGATGATCATCATCACACACATACATACATACTTGCACAAATTCAAATTATACAGCAACAAGCATTCATTGGATAATAAATCAACACTGCTTTGTAATTTATAAATCGCAGCTATGCGACAATTTTATAATCGCTATATTTTCATGATTTTGTGCACTTTTGGTAGAATCGGATCCCAATGGCCTTCTTAGCTTAGTAAATATTTTTCAGGAGATATCAGCTTTTAATTGGTCAATAAACATACAAGTGGGACTCTCAGTCCACCCACGTACAATATATTTTTCCAGCGCGTGACTAAGTCAAGTTTCCCGCCAAGGCGCTGTGAACCTGTCACGTGATTACATTATCAAGAAGAAAGAGAGAAAGAGGCGAACACGAGTTCGCCTCTTTCTCTCTTTCTTCTTGCTGCAAAATGTAATCCCAGAGAATTATCGTCTTGACCATGCGGTCAGACGTCAAAGAACATTACCAACATACACGTATGTACGAACATTCACCACAATACGAACTCTTACGTACATTCACCAAAATACGAACATTCACACAAATGTTCACACACAAACAAAATGTTAACTATCTATGTACTTTGTAATTTAATGTTAATATATATATATATATATATATATATATATATATATATATATATATATATATATTATCGGTCTTGTTTGTCTTCTTTATCTTCAGTTGGACTTAATTAAAGTCCAAAATTCTTTTGTTGCTAGACCTTCTTCTAGCAGGAAATTTAAACGTACGTGTTTTCTTTTCATCTACCCCCCCGGTCCTCTACATAATGGTGACCGCCGACGTGATTTTGCGAAGGAAACCCAATAGACAACATAATGGTCCACTACACAGTAGGGATGATTTATTATCCAATGAATGCTTGTTGTTGTATAATTTGAATTTGCGTAAGTATGTATGTATGTATGTGTGTGCTGATGATGATGATCATTACAAGCCCAAATTGTTCACAGTGTTTAAGTGGGTGTCCATCACCACTGCCAGACAGCGCTTTTGGGAAACATTTTTTTAAAACAAGCTTGTGTCATTTGATAAACCCTATCTAAATTTTCTTCACAAGTTTGGCCGAATTATCAGCACTACCAGCAGCCAAATATAGACATTTTAAACTAAAATTAAAAAATAATTAATTAATTTTAATAGCTAATTGTAGGTGTATTTGCTAAATAAAAACAAAAAGTTGTTTCTTCTTCCTTATCGCTGCCTTTGTTGCAACAAAAATAATATACTCCAGCGGAAGTGCCCTCAGGAGTGCTGCCCGGGGCCATCCCCGCCCCACGCACGCCACTGTATTTATACGTATGTGAAGTATTTGTCCATGTATGTAGATTTTATTTATCCTACCCATTCCTAATTCTCATTTTGTTCATTGTGCGTCGGAGTAAGCTTTATGTGCCAAAGAAAAGTACAGAAGAAAATTCAATATCATCATTTCATTTAGCGCATTTTATGTCACTATGGTCACCACTGTCACTGTTGTAATTTTGGTACATAGTGCAAAAGCAAAATATTATTAATATTAATAATGGATTAACCGGTTCCTTTTTCATCGGAGATGTTGAGGTTACTCCCCTCCCTCCTCTCAGAATTTTCTTCGCCCAGTGGTAAAGCAGTTGATCTCTGAGGCGCACAGCCTGGCGACTGGCAAAAGTGGGTTGGGGAGAAGCATTTCCCTTTACCGGTCGGGAAACTCTCCCGTCTTACCCTCACACAGAAAATTAACCGGCACAAATATTGAGAGAAGAATATTTGTGGTGACACCGCTGCGAAGTTAATTCGGCTGATGAAACTCTGTACATTCTAATAGACGTTGAACATGCATTGAAACAATCTGTTTTGCATTTATTTATGGATATTTTAATTTTGAAATAGTCAAACTAGTTTCACTGTTACTTCTTATGTTGAAAAGACATTAATGAAAGCGTGTCAGTCTTTTGCCATCCGTATATCAGCATTTCATAAAGTTTTAAAATCGGGCCACATGGCGACAGCGGGCAAAATCATTCCTGTCAATAACGAAGAAGGTAAGTGTAAAAAAAACGAACTTTTTTCCTTTCAACGATATTTCAAATATTTTTAACAGCTATAAAAAGAGACGTTATTGAAACTTAAGATTTTTCAGTGCGGCTACGTCGCTACCGAATGTGAGACTTGACAAGAAGATGATCAGGATTTAAAGTGGGTTTACTTAAAGCAATTCTGCAGACCCCATCCCGACACTACCCCCCTTTTTTTGGTAGGGTGTGGGGCTCCTCAGGCGCCGTGTAATGACTCCAGCCTCCTCCAGAAGGAGAGGTACCGTACTGCCTGTAAGGATTGCATCCTGGAGCTTGAGCTGTTACCAGGCGTGTAACTAAATAAATAAACAAAAAAAGTGCTCTGATTAAAAAAAAAAAAAAAAGCAATTTTCACTACTTCTTCAATAAATGAATGAATCATTTACTGAATAGATCATATTTTAAACTTTAGGGAAATCGTTTTTTAGATATCTCGTGTGTACTTTTTAATTAATGGGACGAATAACTATATTGAACAAGAAGGAGATTGAACTATCAAAAAATTACATCATTCCCCATAAAAAAGAAAGCCTGGAAGACCTGTAGTAATTTTGTAAGTTAGTACAAGAAGAGAAGACATTGAGGTTTGGAGGAGACTAAGTAAAAAGCGTTTTATTTGCAGAGTTGAAGATAAATAATAACTGACTTGCAGTGTGACTTCAAGTCGTCATGGTGATAATAATTATCAACAATTTAATATTTAAACGAAATATAAAATGTTAAACTAAATGCTAACACCGTACTGTACACGTGTAAGTGTCACGTTTTTTTGTTACATAAATCATAAATGAATAATTAGTGTAGGCAGTAGCTCAAATTTCTTGATCGAGATATTTAAAACAGGATATAATAAAAAAAAAAAGCGCAAATTATGTTTTTTCCAACTTAAGTCGTTTGAGCAAATTAATCTTCGATAATTTTGCCGTTAAAAGACAAACTGGCGAAGTATTTCTTGCGCTTGAAAAAAATTGGGGGTGGGGGAGATAAGTAACTCCATGATTGAAATCGCTAAAAAAAAGATGATGAAAAAGACGCCAAACTTGAGGAAAACAAAATTTTATCGTCGAAATGTTTATTATTAAGAGGAAAGACTAAAGTTTTTTTTAAAATTATTTTAAAAAATTTTTCCTTCTTAGAACATTAAAATTGTGATTAAAAAGAAAAACTTGCTTCTCTTTCTGGAACTATAACATACAATTTTTAGCACGTTTTTTTTTTTTTTTTTTTGTATGACACATTAATTTGGAAAATATTGCAAAAATAAAAATAACTGTCGGATGTTAATGATGGAAATTATTATAAATATGTTTTTTTTTTATTAAAGTCATGGCAGAATTTTTTTTATAGTTATTACCCCCCCCCCAACTAATTTTATGAAACCTCTATAAATTCGATCGAATACAGTTTAAGTGATTACAATTGAATAAAAGTACAAGGCTTTGAGAAATGCAATCGTTTTTTGTTTTTTTTTAATTGGACCCCCCAACTGAAAATCAAAATCAGCTCTGAATAGTGACAAAACTCAATAAAACAAAGATATTTAATTTCAAATGCTTTTATGAAAATTGAACAATATTTTATGAAAGCAAAAAAATTTTTCGATGAAAAATGAATTTTTAATACAATTATTTGTTATTTCTTTTAATAGATTTTTACATTTAAGTTAAAATATTATAAAATTAGTTAAAAGCTGCATCCAATTTCGTAAATGTCCTTAAGAGATAGATCTTTTTTTTCACATTGTATAGTTTTGACTAATCAGAAGACCCGCAGTAATTAAGAAATGTAATTTTTTTGTGTTTATAATCGGGCTGTAATTATAAAGCACAAGACCAACCAGAATACAATTAAGTTGCATTATTTGAGTTATGCATTGTTCTCCGCTGTTAAAGCCTTACTTTTGCGAAACATATGTGGAGAAGTTAATTTGATTTTTCAATTTCAACTGAGAAGAGTAACTACAAGTAACAGTATCATCTTATGAAATTTATATGATCTTATTTTTATATTAATCTCAGTTATGACATTTTTCCATAAATGAAATATCAAAATTAATAATAAAATGAATGGAAATACAAATAACAGTATTAGAATATTTTATGTACACTTCTGTTAAAATTTCATAAGAAAGGTACCTATAAATTAATTAGATACCTTTCTTATCAAATTTAATCTCACTCTTAACAGTCTTATTTGAATTTCTTTATAATATATTTTCCATAAAGCATCGTAAACGGTGAAAGCTAAGTACAAAAAAAAAGAAGAAAAATTTCACTTCTCTCCTTCCGTAGAAGAAATTATCCTCACATAATCCGTCAATACGTCATTCATCACCTGTCAAGTGACACGAAAGGTTATAACCTGCTTTGTTTTATTTTCAAACTACATCTTTTTGATGCAGAAGCTAAGTTAAACTGGGTTCAAAATATTTTAAATAAACATTATAATTTCTGATTTTCTTAAAATAAGTTTTGAAAAAATGATAATTGATTTTTAAAAGAATTTCAAACTGAGATTTTCATTTTTTTTTTTTTATAAAATGGAAAAAATGGTTGCCATGATTGATTATCTGTCAATTTTGTTGACTCAAAAAGAAACAAGATTTTTAACGAAAATTTCAGTCGTGCTAGGAACAATTAAAAAATGTAAAAAAAAAATACCCCCAAAATACTTTGATCTTTCCTCTTAATAATAACATAAACATTTAGACGATAAAATTTTGTTTTCATCAAGTTTGGTGTCTTTTTCATCATACTATGCTCTTTTTTAGTGATCTCATGGAGGTATCTAGATTAATGTACAATCAATGTTTACTTTGTTTCCCAAACATCAAAAAAGAAAATATGAAAAAAAAAAGTATGTTATTTAAAGTTATTATTATTAAAAATAGCATAAATATGTGTAGGCCTTCATTGGGTAGCATCCTAGTTGTCTGCTTAGCTGGAGCATCAACATCTGTGATTGTAGAGGCCCTAGCATCGGGTTGTTTTGTTTGTTTTTTTAGTTAAGTAAATGAAGGTAACCCCACACTGTCATTTTTTTTTTTTTTTTTTTTCAATAAAACTTGTTTAAAAAATTAGAAGTATAATTAATATAAATAAGTCTTATATTAGAATTTAATTTAAGAACCACGACTACAATATTTTGCAAGTTCACGTTCTAGCCTCTTCCAATTCTCATTCCATCTTTTTTTCTCTGTTTTCAAATCCGGCTCCCAAAGCCTTGATTCTTATCAGAGATAAAAAAATATATTTTATGACTAATTAGAGAGCTAGAAAATATCAAAAGGAGTTTGAACATCCTTGGTGCTATGAAGTCTGGAGGTAACACTTACAACTTGTTGGACCCTTGCTTCCAAAAAGCAGCTCACAAAACTTTTTAGCTAATCTGAATTAAAAGAAAAAATAGGTTCTAAATAAACTTTAGGTATTTTGTGAACAAAGCCAGTAATGGTGGGTGTTCTGTGTATGCGATGAGAAAGAAGTCAAACTTACATTGTCCATAACTTCTAAATGGTAATCAAGTGCAATGTTTTAATGTCATTTTCAAAATAACCAGCCAATTTCACACCAGAATGGTACATTCTCACACCGGGAGATTTTGGTGCTTATACTGCAAATTAACCAGTAAAATTATGCAAGCACCAATTCTTAAAAAAAAAAAAGAAAAATAAAGTTATTTTTTGAGTTTTATTGAATTGTTTTTGACTGAATTTTCCATATGTTCCTACCGAAATATTACACTGAAATAATATCTACAGGAATTTTTTATATAGTTGTAAAAAATTTGGACCAAGCCAATTAAAAAGGTGTGAAACATACACCCACAAAATATTTCCACCAAGTTTTTTTTGATAAGATAAGCTATTCATTAGTTCATCAATAGGTCCTGAAAATTTATCAGATAATTCCTTGATTTTTGGCAAATATTTTAAAACGATGCTATCAATTTTTCTTTTGTTTTCAATATGAAAAAAAAAAGATCCATTTTGGTTTTAGTGGTACAACAAGACTTATTTTTAAATGAAAATTTAACTTAAATGTTAAATAAAATGGAATTAGGCTATTAGAATTTATTTTAAGATTTTTCTCAAATCTTCTATATGCCGTGTCCCTTCAGAGCATACTGGGGAGTAACAGATGTAAAAAAAAAAAAAAAAAAAAAAATAATAGTTTTTACCAAGATTTTCTAAAAATGAAACCTTTTTTAAAATAATTTCATCTGTGAATAAGTCCTGAAAGTTTCATTAAAATCCAACAATTTGATTTTTTTGCAAGAATTTCCAAATAAACATTTTTCACTGGAAAATATTTGGTTCATCCTGATGCAAGAAAAACAAGATTTTTAACCAAAATTTTAACAATCTAAACCTGATCAAAAATATAATTTGATAATCAAATAATCCTTTGGTCTTTCCTCTTAATAACAAAGATTTTGATGATAAAACTTTGTTTTTATTAGGTTTGGGACATTTTTTTCATCATGGTATTCTCATTTTTTAGTGAACCTGTGGAGGTACTTAGTTTTATTGAATTATTTTTGTAAGATTTCTGGGTAAATTTTCATTTCTCCTAATTTGATGTTACAAACGTTTTTTGTTTTTTTGTTTTTACTGAATATCTTCAGTGATTTTCCCTTATAAAATTCTAGAAAATATTTGTCATCACCTCTTAAATTTAAATGTTTACACAATATATCAAAATGGTGTAAGTAACTGATGATAAATAATAAATAAATAAATGATTATCTAATTCCCATGTATTAGGTATATTTTTTACTTTGTCATTTTATTTTATTTTTTTTTTGATTCAGAAGATTGTAGTTGACAGAAAAGTAAACAGAATAGAACTTATTGTAGTACCAAGGAAGAAAGCTGCTCAGAAAAATTATCATGAAACTTTTAATCAATTCATCCCAAGCAAGGCGATAATGCCACTAAGACACAAGGGGTTACTGGGAGTGAAAGAAAATTAAGACTTTAGAACTAAATAGGGGACAAGGGATAAACCACTACTTTTGCTAAAAAAAAAACAGAAAATGTTAACCCGACCATAGGCAAACGTATCTACTCCCATAAAAAATTAAAAAATAAAAATTTCAGACTTTAGGCAGAGATATTAGAAGTATAGAGTTGAAGTAAGCTTAAAAAGAGGCCAAAGACCCAATCCTAAACAGGGAACAAGGGATAAACCTCTACTTCCTACAATATCTTGATTTGTTGAAATATATTAATTTTTTTTGTTGTTAGAAATGAAAATATTTGGAATTCTTTTCATATCCAATAATATTTATTTTACTACAGAATGAAATTGACAAAAAAGATGTACCTATCTTTTGTCTAAAATGGTTTGAATATCCAACATGAGATGTTTATTCAACTGATGATAGGTTCATGTATGCCTTCCTCTTCCTCAAAGTTTTGGGCAGTCATGATCACCCATACCCTGAAGAGATGCAGTATATAGAAGAAGTGATGAGAAACCAGTTTGTTTTGCATAGGAATTATTCAGAATTTGAACAGTTTTTTTCCCCAAGAGCTGCTATTTTGTGGAATAGACTATCAAGCAGATGTCAACTTGACTACTACAACCTTTTAACAGGGTCATCCATTATCTATCCTACATATCTACATAATCTACAATTCTTACATCCATAAAACCCCATTCATTAACCGTCTACCCTGAGTGGCTCTTGTGCCTTGTATTGGATGAACACTAGTGTAAATGATAATTTATTGACAAATTTTTTTAAATTTTTTTTTCCTTAAGGTTTTTATAAATTATTATTATTTTGTTTCCTCTTCCTTGTAGCTCTCTCAGTCCCGACAAAAATTGCTGCCAAGAAACTCTCAGTCGGTGGGGTAATTGCTGTGCCCACAGATACAATCTATGGCATTGCAGGTTCTGCCCAAAATGACCAGGCTGTTGGTAGAATTTACAAAATCAAAAAAAGAAACCCGTTAAAGCCAATTGCAATCAGCATTGCTGATGTAACTGATGTCCAAAAGTGAGTGGATTTTTTTTTTCTATTTATTTACTAGTTATTAACTTTTGAAAAGGATTATCTTTGGCATTTATGCATGCAAGGAAAATATCCAATCATTTAATATGGATGAAACAATAGCCTACTTAAGGCAAACCTGTGATCTTCACGACTTGGACCTGCCATGTCACTTGTGCAACTTCTTCCCATGAACTGCTGTTTTGTGGAACTGGCTCCACAAAGGATGCTTTCCTGATCACTATAATCTTAATTGTTCAAGTCTAGAGTTAACCATATTTCTTCATAAACTGTATCTCTTACTCTGTTACCCTCTACCTAGAGTGGTTCTTTGGCTTTGTACAGAGTGAACATTATTATAGAAAAAGTCCTTTTCAAAAAATTAGTAAATATGGTGGATGGTTTTTGCTTCCTCTACTTGTAAAAATGTCCTCAGCTGGATGGTGACAAAATAGGAAAAGTGGTAGTGTAACTATAACAATATTGAAAAACCCTAAGTACTACTTAACCATGAAATAATTGTTGGTACCTGAAAGATGAGGGTCCTTGATCTTGAGTGGGGTAAACACTAGGTTTTTCTCAAGCAAACGTAGCAAGAGGAACATGGTAATTCTAACCATATATCAGTAGCATGTAAAAACTGTAGACATCCACATGCAACGGAATTCCAAATAAGGATATTAACTCATCTAATGAAGGGGAGCATTTACATCAGATAAGATGAAACGTAAGCTTACTGCTGGTGCTGCTCAACCCATCAGTCAATGCATTGTATAGCATAAACCACACTCCGGTGTCTTTCATAGTCATTGATTAACAAGGACACCCTTATTTACACTGCTTACATTTGGACTTTTGTCTCCATCTTTGTTGTGGTTATCATAGAATTTTAGTCATTGTGTCCTCCAATTCTCCTAGAGGACAATAGCCTAGTGGATTAAAGCATTAGTCTGTGAATTTGGTGACAATAATTGTGAGTTCAATCCTTTGACCGGGCAGTGCGTACTTGGACTTGGTGGTGAAACAGGCTAGCAATATCTGAGCAGTACTAAAAATAAGAATTAGATGAGATATTCTTAGACATGGGACCGAAAACAGTCTACCACTGTAGATTAAATAAAGGGTTCAGTTTAGAATTCTCTGTAGGTTACTCAGATCGATACCTGATAAAAGCTGGAGGGCATGATGGCTGAAACATGTTAACAGCAACAAAGATGGTATTTATCAATTCACCCACAGGAATTGAATGTGGCACAAGGCCTTTTTAATGTAGGTATGTCCGAGCCCGTAGGCCCAGCCAAAAATAAAACCCATCTAAACCCGTCCAAGCAGGCTAGTTCCGTCAACCTATGGACATTATTTCATCTAGATCTCTGAGATGAGGTATTATTATTTCTTGCAATATTTACATTATTTGAACTGTTATCCTCATCTTCCTTGAGATATTCACAACATTTCAGCTGCTGTATGCTCCAGCCTTCTACAGTCCCATTATTTCATCCACCAGAGTAGATTGTTCTAGTTCAACGTGCTATACCTCTTCCAGATATTTCAGTTATTTTCCTTTAACTCAACTCTTGAAGTTTTTGGTTCACCACTGCTGTGGCCCGGTATTGATCTCACAACTCTTTAGGTCTAGTCACTGAATCTAACCAACACCTATATCCACTGAGGACACATGAGAGAATATTAAGAAGAAAAAAAACATTAAGAAGAGAGATCAATAAAAAAAATAAATTAAGAATACAGAAAATAACAATTGACATTGCATTTAAATTTTTGAAGATCAAAGATGACAAGGAAGCAAGAACATAGAGAGTACCATGAGCAAGAAATAAGAGAGAAGAAACTGTTAGCATGAAACTTATGATTATATCTAGCAATTTCCACTGTAAAATGATGAGATCTGGCTGACAATCTAGTACTGCGCTTAAATTCATAAAGTTGAGGTAGCAGAGAGGAAAGTTGATCAGAAAAATTACCAAGAAAATATTTGTAGAAAAGATGCAAGGAAGCCAAATTACAGTGGTAGGAAAGTCTATGAAACAGATGCTAGGTAAGGACCAATAACATTGCAGATAATTTTTTACATTTTATCAAGAATCTCTAAATATATAGCAGGAACAGACCAGATATGGAAGCAATATTCAATGCATGGACAAATGATAAACTTATAAATGTGTCTTATAGATTCTGGCAAGTGAAATTCTTTAGCACAAGACAGTCAAAAGACTTTCCTAGTAGTAGACCTAACAATTCATTCAATATAATCTTTCCACTTCATGTCAACAGAAAACATTAGCCCAAGAAGGTGCAAGATCAAAAGAGACAATTAAAAAATGCAGTTTCATTTTGAAGGCGTTAAAATTACCAAGCCATTCCTTGTATGAGTAAACAACTTAAATTTATTAAATTGTTAACAATCTCTGATTGGCTTACCTCATGTTAAGAATTTGCAGTAGGTAAAACCATTTTACCCACTAATCCCCAAGTCTTTATAAGTGTAGATGTATAGTTTATATGTTGAATTGTTTTTTTTTTGCTTTCTTTTTTTTGTCCATAGGCCATTTTCTTTCAGTTAAACTTCCAATCAACTGCTATGTAATATCAATCCCCCAATCCATATTTGGCAGTGAATACTGGGCAATTTCCTCACAGATAAAGACGAGACTCTAGGCAACAGAGTTATAGTTCCAGAATAGGATGTTGGGAATACCATGGACAATGCATGTGAGCAATGAGGAACTTTTAATGGAAAGGACAATTATGCATAAAATCAGAAAGATAGTTGAAATATTTGGGATACATAATCAGAAAAGAAAGTTGTGGAGAGTCATAATCACCTAGGTCCTGAAGGACAAAACACATACTCAATAAGCAGAGAAATTGAGAATAAAATGAAATGGTGTCCAATTCCACTTGTGTGTCAGGGGAGATTATTTGAACAAACCTCCTTCTTTTAATAAGAAATAAAATAGTTTCTCAGTTGGCATTTTGCCATTGTTAATTAAAATGATTATGTCTTGATAAATTACATTTAAATTGGCATTATTCCATCTCCAAAAACCTCTTAATAATTCTCCAATACTAACAAATTGTCTAAATGAGTAAAGGAAAAATTAGAGATTTTGATTGACACTGTAAACTCATATTCAATAAAATCCAAAGATCCAGTTTGGTTGAAATATTTTGCTTAGTTTAACATATTCATTGAGATCAATTTCTGAAACACTTGACATTTGGCAAAATAGGAAAGAGGACAACATTATGAAAATTACTTTATCAGCATCTCATTTTTTTTTTATTTTATTTTATTTTATTTTTTTTTAACAAAGACTTAAAATTTATTGTAAGCTTCTTGCTTTTGTTAATTATGATTATATTCTTGACATAAATTTATATTTTTTACTACATTTTAAAAGTATTTTTTATTTCGTCTCTAAAAATATATTGCTTTGTAAATAACCCTTAAACCTAACGCTAACCCTTGAATGTTTAGGAAATTTTTTTTTTTTTTTAAATAAAAATTTGGTTTTAAATCTAATTTCAGGTGGGGTGTTTTAACTGTACCAATAAATCTGTTATGTGATCTGCTGCCCGGTCCTGTGACATTAGTCTTTGAGCGGACACCTTTGCTGAATCCAAGATTGAATCCAGACACAAAATTAGTAGGAATCAGGATTCCTGATCATAAGTTTGTTCGAATGTTAGCAAAAGCAATTGGTGGACCTTTGGCACTGACCAGTGCCAATGTTAGTGACCAACAAAGTACTCTGTCCATTCAGGTCAGTTAAGACTTTTTTTTTTTTTTAACAATAGATCCATCAAAGCTAGAATATATTCCTTAAAAATGAGTGTTTGCAGGAATTAATAAAGACATTTTTTTATCTGATCATAAAACGGCTTTCTTTGCCATTCTTATCAGACTGCTGTGTGTGTGTGTGTGTGTGTGTGTATATATATATATATATATATATATATATATATATATATATATGCATGCACACTTTTATTTTATGTGTCTTTATATTCAATTCTGAATTAGCTATAATATTGTTGTTTTCTGTGTTATCTTTGGATCCCCATGATACTACATTAAACCATATCAAGAAAGACATTTATTTTTGGCATTTGCTTTATTAAGAGTGACAGTTTGGCTTCTAAGAGGCAGTAGGAGGAGTGATATCAGTGGAACACGTGTTGTATGTTGGCTCAGCATCTCTCCGCTGGTGGTATTGGCTGATCACAAACTTGGGTGTCTGAGGTATATTGACGCTTCAGAATCCTTGAAACCCTCTGTTGAATTGAATTTGCACTGTTTTGGACTTATATTCAAAACCCAGATAAAGGCAATCCATCACTGACAGAATACCCCACCCACACTGCACTCCAGCCAATTACTGACCATACTAGCCTTGGACTTTGCATTCTGTAACAATATTTTTAATGCTTTTTTTAATTTTTTTTTTTTGTCATAAATGCTATTCAAAAAAACTTTATATTTTCTGAATTGCTAAAACATGCTAGTTTTATTTAATAGGAGTTTGAGAATTTGTGGCCCAAATTGGACCTTATCTGTGATGGTGGTACAATTGAAAGCTGTACCTGTTCACGTCAAGGTTCAACTGTCATTGATCTCAGTGTTCCTGGAAAGTTTAAGGTTTTAAGAGATGGCAGGTAAGTTGAAAATATATCTTTTTCAATAAAAGATGGTGATTGTTGAAACTCATATACTGTAGAATCATCATTTTAAAAATTTTGTTAACCCTCTAATTGCAGAATAAATCTCTGTCCAAAAGAAATAAGACATCCAACTGAATAGATCAGATGAAAAATTTTCAACTCCTTTGGAGAAATATAGGCATAGGTTCTCTATCAGTTAATTCAACCTGCTGGAAAAAGCTAGTATACTTGCTGGCTTCCAAACTCTTTTACTACAATCAATGCAAGAAAGCATGTCTCTCCTCATTAAATACCTAAGAGCCTGCAAAAAAAAATATGGAAGACACTCTCAGATCTTTGTTCTATCAAGAATTTTTTTAGTTTTGAGGATAATTCTTGAAAAGAAAATGTGAATTCCAGGAATGTTCTTATGAGTCACTGTAAAGAAAAATTTGAATTTACTCTGTGGATGAATTAGAGAGTAAGTTATGTATATAGTCTAGGCCAGGGTTTTTCAAACTTTGAGATAAATAAAATAGGTCATGACAAAAAAAGAAACAACTCTAAATGTTGCAAGGCACTCATAAATCATCTCTAATTGTTCACCGAGGTAAGCTCATATTATATTTTATATATATATATATATATATATATATATATATATAATCTGTTCTCTTGTGTGACCTGGGATTTTCCACATTAACTCCATATAATATGAAGGACAGAAACAGGCTCAACACTGCACCTCATATGTGTGTAGCATGTTTTCCTGTGTTCCCAATTGGAATCAGTTGCTTATGAACAAACAAGTACATCCATCTCATTACATGACATTTTTTTTTTTCAAATATTATTTACTTTAACTTTGTGTCAAAATTTCCTTTAAATTTGTTTTTCTAAAAGTAATAATTTTATATTTATACAAATAGATTATGCAAAAAGATACATGCAATTACAATATGTACAGATCATAAGAAGTATACATATAAACTGTCAATGCTAAATAAATGAACCTAGTCTACAGCATTCGTCTTTGATTTATTGCATGTAGATATAATGGGTTGCAATGCAAAATATGGGTCACAGTTAAAAAAAAATAGTTTGAAAAACACTGGTCTAAGCCATGTGCAGCTACTGCACAGAGCGCTAATTTTAGCATCCTGTCCTGATCTCTGCCCAATGTAAAAAGAAACCTTCAGATTTAAAGTACACATGCTCCCTGTTTTTCTTTTTATTCCTGCCTCAAAACTAAAAGTGGGTTATTGCTGCTGATAGGTATTCTCTCCTTTGCTTGTATCCCCAGATTGCTGATAGCAGTCCTTTTTATTGAAAAAGTGACATAATATCCGCTTCAGCCAAAATTTGACATTGGCCAGCAAACTTGTTTCTCATTGGCCAATATATATATATATATATATATATATAAACCCTCTCCAAGTATTCAAAAAAGATAAATCTGAAGCACTTCAAACAATTTTGGTGGTTCGCCACTTGAACCTAAAAGGTAAAAAAAAATGCACAAAATTTAACACACAAATTGTCTAGCCCTTTTGAATAATATACTTTTCTCAAAATGGGTATATAAAAAAACCCAAAAAAAACAGCCTAAACAATTATATGTGGATCTTTAACATTTTTTAAAATAATAAAATTTTTATATATTTTTTGTTTTGTTTTTTATTTATTTATTTTTATTTTTTTGTTTCTTGACTGACTCGCTATGTCAGATCAATGTTTTCTAAACCTTCTGCTGTGAAAGAGTAAGATTGTATTTTTAAAAATTTTGGAAGATAAACAGAAATTTGTAATGAAGCTCATGTGCCAGCCACAGGTGGGATTTATATACAAAGTACTCTATTTACATTATCAGACTATTGTCCTTATCTTTGTCGCCATATTTACCACATTTCGGCTATTGTATGCTCTGGCCTTATTCAGGTGGTTGGAATGACGAACTGAACCCTTTATTTCGTTTACTGGAGTAGACTGTTCTAGTTCCACGTGCCATGTCTAATGGTTATCAGTTATCTCCAGCTTAATTCCCCTCTCCAAGTTCTCTACCTCCTTAACCAGGTATTGAACTCACATTATTTGGGTCCTGTCATTGGATCTAACTAATGCCTTTATCCACTGTGCCATGTTTCCTCAAGCTGAGGACAATAGTCTGAATAATGTAAATAATGTACATAATACCTCATCTCAAAAATATAGACAGATATGTACAAAGTATGTAAAAATATTTTTGTGTTCTCAAAAAAAACAGGAACACTTAGAAAGTGTAAAAAAAAAAAAAAATGTTTGTGAACCATTGAGTGAGATAAATCCCCAAATTGTATCATCTCTCTGACACTGGGTATCTCTCATTAATGACAAAGATATGTTTTTTTTCTTGCAGTGCCTACAGGGAGACGATAATGGTGCTGAAAGACAAATACAGTCTTGAAGAAGTTGGTTAGCTGCAGTACAAAAATTAACTCCAGCAGATGTGATATTTTTAATAAGGAAAGCAAAGGATTAAGTACAATGTCCTGAATTGGTTACAGTACAGAATTGTACATTTTTTGTCATATAAACCATAATGGTTGCATATAAATAAACTGTAATGGATGTATAGTATCCATCTTGAGAAATATGAAGAATATGGTTTTTCAAAGGGAGATAGTCTTTAGGCACATAAACACACATATGCACACACATCTACTGCTTTCATATTATCTTAGGTGTAAATAATTTTATTTTTTTAATGGAGGTTTCTGGTCTGTACAGCTGATATAATTTGATGTTTGGTAAGAGATGATATCAATTTGATTATGCTTATAAAATCCGTAGAAAAATTAACTTTTTGAAATCTTCCTCCAAACATTATTTCTTCCTCTTTTTTCATATTTTTTATTTTTTCTGAGCTGAATTCTTGGGCTCCTCTTATATTGAAAATGACAGAAAAAGTCCGCCATAAATACATACATATTATTACTTCAAACATTATTTTTTGGTGGTTACCCGTGTTTGAAATAGACACTCCATATGTTTTAGATACAAAACTGAGCAGTTATGGGATTTGAGGAAAAATTTGATTGAGGAAATGTGCTTTCCTTAAAGGGAGCAGTTCATTCTCAGTGGTTGAGTGGTCTAATGCACACCAGATCAAATAGTAATTTCTCCTACAAAGTAGAATGTGGAGTTGAACCTTGCCGGAGAACACATTTTGTTAACATTACACAAGTGCACAGGTCGATGGCTATAATACACACTGTTTAAAATAAAAAATTGAGTGTCTATTTCAAATACGAATATCCACTAAAAAGAACCTTTTGATGTAATAAAAATAAACCCATTAATTATTTAGAAATAGCTTTTTTGTTTCAGACATGAAACTGAACAGTTATAGGCTTTCAGTAAAAATCTGACCGATAAAATGTGATTTTTCTTTTGAAGTAATAATTAGTTAGATTTATTTTTTTATACTGATACCCTCAATTATAAGCGATGCCAAATGATCAATTTTGTTGGACCACTAAAACTCGCATAATATTTCAATAATGAACTTCTGACCCACTTTCTGACCCACATGCATTTCTCGTGTCTGTATCCTCTATTTTTAGAAAATGTTATTGGAAATACCACCACTTAGAGTTACCTGGTGAATTTGTTGAGGTACTAAAATAACACAGAGTTCACAATGTGATGTTTACCATTTAATTAACACAAATGTAAAAACATTGAATAAAAAGTACTTGCCGAAAAAGGTTGTGTTCTATGTTAGAGATGACTTCTACCTTTTGGTCCTTTGACTGAAAATAACTGAAATGGAGTGAGTCTTTTCTCCTCCATGACTGGCCTCTCGTTGCCCACCTGATTGAGTTGGTAGACATGAATAACATGTCCTTTACTCCCCTTTTCTGAGGCTTCTAAGCTAGACCAGAGTGCTTACTAGCTCAGGTTATGTTGACCAATAAAAACGTGTTTTCTTATTCATATATGGGCTTCTATAGAGCTGGTTTGGTCCGTTTCCAGTGTTGCCATGTACACTGACTTCATGTGTGTCCTCTTTTTCTGCAATTCTAACATTCTATGTCCCTATTAACAACGAATCTTGCTTGTTTATAATAACCCTGCTCCTCTATCAGTTCTATGTCTGGCCTTGTTATCCTGCTCTCTTTCTCTTCCTGATGGGCTACTATCTATTCTTCACCTTTACATGTAGCATGTTTCCATCTGATTAGGATTGATATTGGTGTCCGTGTATGTAGGGAGGAGGGGGTTCACTGTTCCTGAGTCTTGATTATTCTACGATATAAGCAGTTCCTACTGTCAATTCGTTTCTTGTAACTTTTATATTGATCTTTCTTGGTAAAGAAAGATCAATATAAAAGTTAGGACAGACGTTGATTAGGAAGACTGAAGAGCGTGAACAGAACAAGGGTAGATAATTAATTAGTGTCTTATTTGACTGTAAAGTTTTTTTTTTAGTTTTTTTTTTTTTAGTATGATTATTATTATTTGTATTTGGAGTGGGTGTTTATGACTCTTCCACTTCGAGTTCTGGTTATGTTTATTTGAGTATCTCAGTTTGTTGTGATTGTTGTATGCTTGTATTGTTTGGTTCAACATTCAGTATGGTATAATATTTATTTTTATGTGAGTGCTGAAATGGTTTTAGCATATGTGGTCGATTTCATTTAATGTATCAACCTTGTGAATTGACTAGGTATGATCTAGGTGTATTTAGTTATTGTGCGTGAATATATGCTAATGGTTTCATTTACAAAACGAATAGCCATACAACATAAACATAAAAAAAGGTCCAAATAAACCACAAAAGTCTTGATATAAAAACACATGAATATATATATATATATATATATATATATATATATATATATATATATCAAAACCATAAACCTAATTTTTTCAATAATCTACAATCCCACTTAATAAATCCTTACAAATCTGAATTAGGTTTAATTTTGAAAAACATACTTACAAAAATAATACTGACTATACAAGAAAACTATTGTGTTAATCTTTGGAAAGATCCCTCAGACACTTTTAAATGGTTCCAAAATATCACCAATAAAAAGAACACTACAATCATTCAATTTGCCATCATTGACTTCTATTATTCCATTTCTGAAGATCTATTACTAAATAGCCTAAATTTTGTCAAAAATTATATTAACATTACAGACGACGAACAAAAAATTATAGTGTCCAGAAGATCTATACTTAAATATAATGAATGGCAGATTCATAGTATAAGTGTCATTAACTTTCTGGGATACTGATACATCATTGATCAGCACCACAGGTTCTGGGTCCCCACTTGCTTTGCAGGAAACAACATCTAGTGCATAGTGCTTTGCTCCTGGCATGTACAATATTTTGAACTTATAACGTAAAGCCTTCTCCATTAGACTCTGCAGTCAGGCATTGGGATGTTCTCAAGCAATTTGCCCCGAAAAGCTTCAGCAAGGGTTTATGGTTGACTGCTATGTCATAACCAAACACAAAATTGTGGGCTTTTTCAAGAGCATCTGCTACTGCTAATGCCTCTCCTTCTACCACTGGGTATCAAGATTCTATTAATTGGCAGACAAGTTATAGGTATATAGTTGGAGACTTCTCCCCTGTTATTATTCTTATTCATTTTGATGCTTGTCACTGTACATACACAATGCACATGCATTCCACCAGATCCCAACCAGAAACCTGAATCAAGAGATGGTTTAGTGATAGCTTTTACTCAGCAAAAAGTAAACTCCTTCTGCTTTTATTCCACTGTTGATGTTAATCCTCAATGAATCAATTGCATCTGCAATAAGGTAATCCTCCTGTTTGTCTGAATATTGAAAACTGAACAAATGAAATGTTTTCTATATGGCTTCCAGCATTTTATAGAAGACACCACCTGGTGTCACTAAACAACAACCAAAAGGCAAGGGCAATAACTACATCATCAACATTTCCCCCATTTTTTCAGATGCATGCAGAGTACATAACACAGGCAACAAAGAAATTTTATAAGGCCTAAGTCAAATATTCTTTGGGCTCCATAATATGCCCAAGAATCTTGAATGAGGGAACACCTCACCTGGTAAGTGAGTCAGCTATTTGGTGATTTGTGGGCACCCATTTAATGTCAGACAATTCTTTATTGATCAACATTTTATGCAGGATTTTATCTAGAATCTGAGTGCTAGAATAGGTTGATTCGCAAACACCTGAATTATCTCTTTTGCATACAACAGGGACATTATTCACAATATCCTCAAAACTAAACAATTCAAGATGGGATTTCCTGTAGTATATACATGTATCAGTCATGTCAACCATTGCCATTGTTTTGGCAGCTTGTGTGCTCTTCACAACTCGCATTTATACATCTTGACTACCGGAAAATAGGCATGTAGCTGCAATTACTACCAATAAGAAATATCTTCTTGTCTTGTAACGGCATTCACCCAGGGTGGGTTGAGCCGGCTCCAATTGAATTAACCACATTGCGCGTCAAGGCCATCCACCCCCGTTGATCGGCAGCAGAATAGATGGCATGATCGAGCCAGTCGCGATTCCAGTGTCGAACCCCTAAAACACGAGGACTGGACATGAGTTCCATATCTGCTTTGACCATTGCGAGCCATGTCTTGAGTTGACCACCTCAGTGCTTCCTCCAACCAGTGGGTGCGTTTGGTGCCACCAGTTTACGGATGAACTCGTCACCAGGCTGCCACAGCACGTGACCAAACCACCGGAGTCTCCTGTTAAGCAGAGTTTCTTCCAGGCCCAGAATGTTGCATCTGGAGCAGATGGACGAGTTGGGGGTCTGGTCAGAGAAGCGCACGCTAAGGATACGGTGAAGACAGTAGTGATCGAAGACCTCAAGCTTATGAAGATCCTCTCTGTGCAGTGACCAGGTCTCACAACAACAGGGAAGAATTGTTCTGACCATGGCTCCGTATATTCGCAACTTCGTGGATCATCTTATCTCCTAGCGAGACCAAAGTTGTTTTTGAAGATGGACAAAGGCAGCTCTAGCCAAATTTATACGCGTGGTGATTTCATCCTTCGCTTGACCAATGGTTGCAAAATTGGTGCCAAGATATTTGAAGCTTTCGTCCTCTTCCACAGCTTCACCATCGAGGGTTACAGCCACTTGATCAGGTAGGAAGTTCGCAGAGAGAATTTTCCTCTTGGAAGCGTTAATTTTCATCCCTACCATTTTGGCCATGCGACTGACATTGTCGAGTGCATGCTGGACCTCCGCGTAGGACTTGCTAAGGATTGCAACGTCGTTGGCATAATCGAGATCGGTGATGGAGCAGTTGTGGCCAACTCTGACACCTGCAAGGCCAACCACGCTATTCTCGAGGATGCAGTCAATAATGTAGTTGAACAGGATGGGGGAGAGCACATCCTTGGTGGACGCCCGTTCAGACAACAAAGAAATCGGATTCTTCCCCGTGGCACCTCACTCTAGTTTGAGTGTGAGCGTAGTAGGCCTTGATGAGGTTGAGAAGCTTGGACGGGAAGTCATCATGACGCATGATGTCCCAGAGGCTTCTGCGATCCACCGAGTCGAATGCTGCAGTGAAATCAATGAAGCAAACAATGGTAGATTGCTGATAAGCCCATCGCTTTTTGAGAATTTGCCTGAGGGAAAAAATTTGATCTATGCATCCTCTGCCTCTCCGGAAACCTGCTTGATTAGGACGGGTTCGGTGGTGTTGGATATTCTGGAAACGACACAGTACGATAATTGAGAAAATTTTTGAGGCGACATTGATCAAACTGATGCCTTTATAGTTGCGACAATTGTGACAGTTGCCTTTTTTGTAAAAGGGGAGGAGAATTGCATCGCTCCAGTCCTGAGGTAGTTGCTCAGAACGCCACACAGCATCGAGCATTGGGTGTAGACATCTGGCCATAAGGTTAGGACAGCTCTTGTAGAGTTCCGCCGGAAGACCGTCCTCACCAGCAGCTTTGTTATTTAGTCCTTTGATGACATCACGTATCTCTTCTTCCATTGGAGAATCACAGTTGGCATCGGGGGCGTTTGTTAGGGTGCTAGGGGGACGTTGAGAGGGAGGGTCATAGTTCAGCAAGGTTTCAAAATGCTGCTTCCAACGGATTGTGCAGTCTGCCATCTGGGAGATAGACATTCCATTCGGGTCCAGCAGCACTTCGCTTAGCCTACTGTTTCCCTTAGTTGCCGTTTTAAGAGTCTGGTATAGTTTTTGGGAATCTCCTACTGATGCCGCTTGCTCCATGACTTCAGCGACGTTTCGCCATTAAGTATTGAGATCAGCCTTTGCAGAGCGAGCAGTCTCACGGCACAATCAGCGGAAGTCGTCATTCTCAGAGCAACGGGCTTGTTTAGTTTGGCTTGCAAGCTCATTAGTATGGCCAGAGATCTAGTCCTTTGCCTGCCGTCTGGTTTTACCCAGGGTCTGCGAGGCAACTTCTTACGCTGCTTTTGAATAACTACCAGGAGTCCTTTTGAGTACTCAATGGGTTGAAGTGCTTGAAGACCAACAAAGCGATTTGATAACCGGAGCTGGAACTTGGCTCTGGTTTGCTGGCATCTCCCGAGATATCGATTTCACAGGGCGGTTAGATGGTAGGTTGCCTCTCATAAAGGCACATCTTTGAATGAACCAATACGACGGTCGGAGCCATGCTCATTGCCTGTTTTGGCTCCCCGGAATGCGTGATAGTCCAGGACAAGAAATATACCCTCTCTAGGAACTTCCATCACTTAGATTAGCAAAGGAAGCATCACTGTAGACAACCATTTCTAGCTCTTAAATCTCCCATATCTTGTATGGTCAGCTGAGATTTCTGCTTTTTTTTTTTTTTTTTTTACAGATTTATTTACTTGTTTAATACTTTCAATTTTCCTTTCTTTGAGAAAGAAACTGGTGTCTCATTGTAATATAAGTCAGAGTATCATAATAGAAATCAATCTGTTTAGCTTGGAGATCTTGCTTAATGATGTCATCTATAACTCATTGGAAACTTGGTACTCCATTAGTTACTCCAAAAGGAATTCAACAAAATTGATACAGAGATCCATCAGCTTCGAAAGCAGTGTATTTTCGTTCTTTAGGCTTGATAGCAACCTGGTAATAGGCACTGGTTGAATCAAGTGTGCTAAATATTTGATAAGTGGCAATCTCATTTACTATGTCCTCTATCCAAGGAAGAGGATAAGCATCCAGGAGAATGAACTGTTTTATCATTTAGGAGTAATCTACGACAAGTCTCTTGTGATGTTCAGGAGATACTACCAGTGTTTGGGATTGAGAAGGCTCTAATAACTTTCAGCATACAGGAGATTTCTGACTGAATGAATTTTAATGTCGAGTATGCTATGTCTCTTGGATTTCACCGCTATTGGATGACAACCAAAAGTTAAATTCGTAAACAGAGAAGAGTAAAGGACATTTTTAATTGCAGTCCACAAACAGTAAGAGGTGGAAGTGGTCCCTGAAAAGGTATTTTCTACAGTTAATGTAGAAAATTATGCTCTAGAATGATACCACAGCACAGGTTAGCTATAACCGATAACTTGACATTTCTGTACTTTCTATGACTCAGGTTGAGGGATGCTACACAATATTTAAGAGTAGAAGACAAGTGAGAACTGCTAGCCATCAAAATTCTTTTGGAACTAGGCATGATTGACAATCCGAGCATTTTAACTTTGTCAGGATGAATAAAATTTTCTGAGCTTTGAGTATCCTCATAGGCTCACCTTTTGATTTTCTCACACAAAGATTCAGGCAACCTAATTTCTTATACATGCTTTGTTCCCAGATAGAATTTTATGCAACAAATCATACGTAAAATGATGTATTCATATTTACATGTGTTTCACACAGAAAAATATAACAAATATATGTAACAAGTAGAGTGAAAGGAAAATGAAGGAAATTAAGTCATGTAATAAATCCTAATAGGAATTGTAGCTAGCTGCTGGAGATACTTGTTTTTCTGGAGAAGCCATATTTAAGACTCCAGATTCAAGTGGGCCGGATTCGTCTACTATATCCCAAGCGAGGACATTTTCCATGAACAGGAAACAGTCTTGGATTATTTTTGGCTAAAAAAAATGTTCCAGTTTACCCTTCATTCTTTCTTGCTCTCTTTTGATCCATTCTGCATTGGTATTATTTTCCTTTTGGTTGCTTCAAATGTTCTCCAAATTGTACTTCATTAGGTGGTGGCTTTTTGACTTCTATAATATATTTTCCAATTTCTCTGAAGAATTCCTTACGGTCTGTCTGAAATATTTTATGTTCTTGATGTCATGGTGCATGTTATGTGTGCTAGTATGTCGTAATAACTCGAACACAAGTTGTGGTTACAAAAAGGAATGTCATGGCATATTTTTATTAATTAATGCACATGCATTGTTATGCATAAAAATTGGATTGACTTTTTGTGAATCTGGAATGAAATAATAAGGAATCATTACAGTTTAGGGTTAGTGTGTCAAACCGTCAAACAAACAACCCAGTCAGTTTTTTTATGTCTTTTACATCCTGTAAAAGATTATATTTTAACTTCTCTTATAAAGTAGTTTTATTTTGCTCTGTACTTATTTCATATTTGCAAAGAGATATAGATATATATATATATATATATATATGTCTTACATTAAAGTATTTTTATTGTTATTTTTTCTATATCCTTTCAAAGATTTTTTTTCTAATTCTGTTAAAAATATTGAAGAATGAGTAGGTATGATATAAAAGCCATAATATCTTTATTTTTTCATATAAACTACTTATAATGATATAGGTCTACTCAAGTTAGGAGCAATATGCAAAGGCTTTGTGAGATTTGTAGGTCATAATCACTTAATTACATAACAAGGAGTCTGAGATGGTGGTGCCAAAAATAGAGGAGTCGTAGTTGAAATTTTTGTGTTCCAACTCCACTGCCATAGATAGAAGATAACAATTGATATGCATTTAAACTTTTGAAGATGAAAGTTGACTGGGAAGCAAGATGTTGGAAGAGATTTCCACAAGTGAGAAGTGCTAGAAAAGAAACTGTTAGCATAGGACTTACAGTTATATCTAGCCATTTCAACTGTAAAATGATGAAACTTTGCCACTAATCTAGTACTCTGATTAAATTCATAAATCCTATGTACACTAAAGGAAAGTTCATCAGAACTTTTATGGTGAAAGTATTTATAGAAAAAGTATAGGGAAGCTACATTATGGCAGCAGGAGAGTGACTGAAAGTGATATGTCAGGCCAGGACCAATAACATTTCTTCTTTAGATTTTATCATGGATTTCTAAATGTATAGCTGGCACATCAGATTAGATTTTGCAGCAATCATCTGAGAAATAAATTTTTTTTTTGCTTGCTGTCATGTATTTAAACCCCTACTATTTGATTCTATTTTGTTATACTGAGCTAAGTTTAGTGAAATGAAAGAAAGACTGGGCAAGAATTAATGAGTAATCATTACTTTCATCCTGAGAAATGTCAGCTCAACAGACAAAAGAATTAACAATTTATTATTTAAGCATACAAACACACATTCACAGACATTCTTTCTTTCTGATCCAATGAAGCCGAGTGAGGCTGAAACACTAATCAAGTTTTAATGAAACAGATTTCCATTTGTCATATTCTTCAAATTATTGGGTAACTTTTATTTTGAAAATATTAATGCATACATTATCACACTTCCTCTGCCACTTTATTAATAGCACTTTCCAATAGTATTTTACTTAAAATGATTTAAGTGGAAGATTTTGATGTAACTCTACAACTGACAAAGATTTCTAAATAGAAGTGTTTTTTATTCATTATATAATTTCATGACATTTGACTGTCAAACAGATATCATCATTAATTATGGTGGGGTGCTATAAAGTTCTTGAAGCAGACAAGTTGGGATTGTATTCTAAAATGCATTTTGTTTGATCTGATTCAGGGAAGTGAGCCAAACCAAGAACTTTTCCAAACCACATGTGTATGCGTGTTGTATAAAAATAATTAAATTATTTATGGTTAAAGCAATTAATAAAATTTATTAAAACAGATTTACGAAAGCATTTTGTTTTTTATCTTTTGTGGGTGGGGACGGTGGAAATTCTTTGGTGAATAGATTTACGAAAGCATTTTGTTTTTTATCTTTTGTGGGTGGGGACGGTGGAAATTCTTTGGTGAATAATTCTACCAGTACCAGTTGTCACTTTCGGTACATCTCCATAGTATATCTCTTATCTAACTCACCTGTTACTCCTGTTGTGACATTCATCTACTTTGATGTCCCATGTCTGTGGACTTGTGTCAGACTATGACTTGGCTTGCTTCATGTCTAGATTATGTATTGCTCATCAGTACCAGGAACTAATTGAAAGCCAGCTAGAAAGCCAGGATGCTGATTTCCAAGGTTCTTGTTATTTTGAAGATTAGTCTAACAATCTTCCTCTCTCATTCAACCTTAAATATCAAGTTGCACTGGTTCTTAATAAAATAAGCTTCCCTCATGATCACTGGCAGAATCAATTTCACTTTAATTCTGAAACGGGATCTGGTGTGTTGTTTTTTTTCTCAAGGAAAACAAATTTTAGATTACTTTTCTTTTGACCAACCAAAGCAGAACCGACATTGATTGGTTGAGTCTAGAATTAGTTTTTCATCTCTTCTACTCCGCTGTTACAAATGCAGATAGCCCAAACACGCATACACGCATATATTAAGGTTAATCTCCGCTTGACAACAGAAGAGGTCACGTGGGAGTCTCGAGTCATTTTGGGAAGCAGGTCAAAAGGTTGACTGACCCAATTACCCGTAGCAACAGACGTCTAGACAGAATCTAGACAGGGGACTGATGTAAGGTCGTGAAGCAGCAGGAACTGGAATTCATGCCAAAAAGCAGGACACGTGGGAATTAGAAAATTACTTGGAAATCAGTTGCTGTCTTGTCTTTGAAGGAGCAAGACTCGAAATCGAAGCGCTGATAACTTATGAACGGAAAGATGAGACTCATTTTGGTAATGATGGAACTTGTCCGATTCATCATAAGCAACTCCGGGTAAGAAATATAAGGATGTATATTTCTGTTCCTTAACTCCAAATTGAAGAAGATAAATCAAGTTATTTATCACAGAAGACGCAAGGAAATTTGTACAATGAGAATACAGCCTGTGTTTGAAGAGAGAAGGAGAAAGTATATATCTCTGTTGCAGCCGGACCGTGTTTGAAGCTGAACTGTGTAAAGAAGAAGAAAGAAAGAA